CATCATTAAGGCAAGGGATGGATGGATCTCCTCCACCTGGTGGTAACTCTGTGGATTTCAAATGCCCTCTGGTGAAATGCCCTCTGGTGAAATGCCCTCTGGTGAAATGCCCTCTGGTGAAATGCCCTCTGATGGAATGCCCTCTGGATATAAAATGCCTTTCAGAAATGTCTTTGAGACATTGTATCATCATTAAGGCAAGTTTTTTTCCCACTTGTGATCTTGTAATCTAGCCTTCGTCCGTGTCAGTCCTCGTCCGTGTCACAGATAGCGGAAAGAACAACTACTTACCAGATATAGAGCCCCCAGTTTCCCCACGTGTAATAGATGTTGCCCACTAACTGTCGTAACCGATTTCGCCGACCAAGTATTCTAGTATCCCACTGTGCTGGACAGTCGAAGACAATAAGAGAATCAGTAACTTAGACATCCACAGTCCACAAGACAATCGTTCAAAAAGCTTTCAGAAATGGCCAGAAGTCGCGAGAAGTCAGAGTTCTCACTTACCTGCAAACCCCTCTGAAACCCCAAGATACGCTCAAGCGTGCGTGTCGAAGACTGAGCCTATAAAGTTAGCAGTTCCGTCTAATTTTACTGCAGTTGGTGGTTAGTATTGTGTGTCGTGGTGAGATAGGGCCGACCCTGCAGTCAAGTTAGCAGTTCCGTCTAATATTACTGTATTTGATGTTAGTATTGTGTCGTGTGTTGTGTGTTGTTTGTTGTGTGTTGTGTGTTGTGTGTTGTGTGTTGTGTGTTGTGTGTTGTGTGTTGTGTGTTGTGTGTTGTGGTGAAGTAGGATCGATCCTGTAATCAAGTTAGCAGTTCCGTCTAATCTTACTGCGGTTGATGTTAGTATTGTGAGTCGTGTCGAGTGTCGAGTGTCAAGTGTCGAGTGTCGAGTCGTGGTGAAATAGAGCTGATCCTGTGGTCATATTAGCAGTTCCGTCTAATATTACTGTTGTTGATGTTAGTATTGTGAGTCGTATCGTGTGTCGTGTGTCGAGTGTCGTGTGTCGAGTGTCGTGTGTCGAGTGTCGAGTGTCCGGTCGTAGTAGGATAGGGTCGATCCTGTAGTCAGATTAGCAGTTCCGTCTAATCTTACTGCGGTTGGAGGTTAGTATGGTGTGCTGTGAGTCGATAGAGCCGATCCTGTAGCCAGATTAGCAGTTCTGTCTAATCTTACTGTAGTTGGAGGTTAGTACGCTGTGCTGTGGTTAGCTAGAGGGTGGCTATATGGGGATAGATGGCACAGTAGATGGCAGAATAGATGGCACAGTAGATAGATAGGAAATAGATGACAGTAGATAGACAGTAGATAGACAGGAAATAGATGACAGTAGATGGCAGTAAATGGCAGTAAATGGCAGTATGTAGATGGGAGTAGATGGGAGTAGATAGCAGCAGATGCGAGTAGATGGGAGTAGATGGCAACAGATGGAGAGTAGATGTAGAGAAGATGGAGAGATGAAGATGAGAAGTCAAGAAAAGGAAGATTTGAGGGAGCTGCGACAGGAATGACAACAGCAGGCCTGGAAAAATCTTCTCATTTTGGCGCAGTGAATGAAGCAAATGTCATCATGACATTGTAGTTGGCTTCCACCTACTAGGGCTGTTTGTTCTGTTGGCATCTGTCAGGCCTGGTGTGTCACCACTATGTAAGTGTACTACTGGTCTTTAGTCTTACGAAGATACCATGAATGCTTCTTAGATCTGGCAATGGATCTAAAGTCTAAATGAGTCTCAATACATGTGCTCATTGCTGTTGGCTTGGACATATTGGTTTATAAGCTGGGGTAAGGTAGCCAGTATACTCCGCACTGTATAGCAATCTGAGAATCGGTGGAGTGGGGGTTTTCGAATCTAGGTCGTATCACTGTCGATCTCCTACTCCAGTTCTTTTGGCTACTGGTATGTCACTTTGCGGTCGATTATCTGTACAATAGTCGTCTCAGGGTATAGACTGTCTCTTATACTCGTTCCCTGTTGGTTCGCTGCGAGGTCTTTAGGGCGATGAGGTTGTAAGCTGTCAGGACCTTGAACTGCAAGGATGCAACCCTACCTACTAGTAGTGAACAGTATTCTGAAATGCCAGTAACATAGCACGTGCATAAGATCTTGTGCTATTGGTGACATGCTTTAAATTCCAAATCCAAATCCAACTCAGACACCGATGTAGATCTGCGTTACAAATACTCATAGTACAGGGTAGGGCAGGTACTTTACATACACCAGGTAATAGGGTAGTAATCATGGAACCTGCCCGAGTTCAGCTGTATTCCTCAATACACTCATACCCATACCGGGGGGGGGGGGGGGGAGTAAAAACAAAGCCATTGTAAACCCGTACCAACTTCACCACTACTCAATACTAGTCGTTGTTTAGCAGAAACTAAAGAAAGTTTATCAGGGAGGAGAAACCCAAGACTGGATAGTCCCCCTCCACCGCATCGAACAGAGTTCGCAGCTTCAGAACACAACAAATGGGAATTCGGACTATCGTTTTCCAGAACACCCTAGACTGCGTTCTAGGGTCGTCTCCCGAGTCAGGCCCATCGGACGTGCCCCGGAAGAGGTAGGAGGGCCTGTCACTGTCCTTGTCTGCGAGGGCGATGATGTTTATTCTTGACATTTTACGATTCATGCTGCACTCTCTGTATCTACTTTACCCATTGTGGAGTCTGGTCTTCAACTCCGCAGTAATCTATGTATAGTAAGTATGGTAAGTCGGTATGGGCTGAAAGTGGAAATATCTCCCCCTCTGGGTGGGTAGTGGGTATCACTATCTTGGTACAGCAATGTCACAGACCAACTATGATCTACAACCTACATATGCACGCACTGACGACGGAGCACACCTCCTTAAGGGAGACTCAAAATTGGAATTATTCATGTTGATTATTTCCTGACGAAATCGCCCCCCAAGGCCCGACTATTTACGGTGCTGCAGCATGCAATCTGCCTGCTGAGCCATGTAGTACCACCAATACAAGCCTAGCCCCACGGCTATCCCCAGTCTGGACGACTATCCATTTCCAGCCCGGGGACCCAGACCCGCCGGTATGGATGTTCTCCAGTAGATACGACTAGGGAATCTAGGGAATCCTCAGCTTATCCACTTCTTTTGCCACGTTCTTCTAGCCAGGGCTGAATTTGGTATGCGGCGGCGGTATCCGTATTCGGTGTTGTCTTGGCGTTTGTGCACAACTGTACAACTGTACAACTGCACATATTGAAGGACGATCCGACGGACATCTAGAAGCCTGGTTCAATCTCTGACGGATTGACGGTCTTCGAAACACTTCATCAATTCCAGACTAGTCTGGATCACTATCTGCCGGGAAGATCGCTTTCTCGCCCCGCTCTCGACACAGTATACAGAGTAGACGATGCAGTAACTATGCTGAATACGACGCGCGGGGGAACCAAGGTTCTGTTCATGACTTCAATATCCTCCTGTCCATGCCCATCCCACTGTTCGTGCAGGGGTCCTTGGGGTCCATTTGCAGCCTCCTCTTTGATCGAGATCTTGCAATTGCGTGCTGAGGTGCTCAACTTGTTTCTGCCGCCTCCACGCGAGTCCACCGCGATCGGAGATCCCGGGCCGTTGTTGTCCATCATAGTGGATGCGCAAGATCGCGAACTATTACCCACACGGAGTAAACTGGGTGCGAATTGATCAAAAGACGAAGGCATACCATCCGCGTACTTTGAGCCTACTTGCTTCGCATGACATCAGATTGACCAGATATCTCCGCAGGCTAAAATCTCACCCACAGCGTATATACTAGAGTGTCGGCTACGGCGCGACAACTCCACAGAATCCCAACAGATCTTAACATACCGCTTACCGGCTCTTACAAGCGTTCATGCTCACGGTTCTATAAGGATCGGGATCCCTCCCGCGATATCTGTTGGGAAACCCGCTATCGCCGTTGGCTGTCAGCACTGCTGCATACAATGCATTGGAGCTGCTAACCCGTCGCTCTTGTCTGACATGCACGTGGCGCAGTGAGATGGTCCAAGTCGGTCCTTACGCGGTGGTATTCTAGGTAAGTATGGTCCTTGTATGCGGCTTTTTACGACGATCGGTCAACTGATACCACGACAGGGTACGGAGTACTCCTAGTAGAGATGTCATGTACGGCGTTCTCCCATGGGGGCCAGAATGTGCGTTCGAGGCGGTGCCTGTTTCAGCTATTCTGACACATTGAGTCAGGCAAGGCAGCCTTGACAGCCTGGAAGCAGCTAAGAGATTTATCCCACCCACGTTCCCACCGGTCTGAAAGATGGAGCTGGAAGGTTGGTCGGGTAGAACGCGTTGAGGCGGTGTGGTTCGGTGACACCTGTTTAGCATGATTGACTGCCGCACATGGGAAGGGTATCCCTGGTGGCTGGCAGTAGGTCAACAGCGAGACTGTCATCTATTGCCTGGCGCACTGAATCAGGGGGTCGATGGCTTGGATATGGCCTCCAGAACAGAGACATGTCTGTGTACTAAAGATGACCATCCCACCACGCTACCCGCCATGTTTCCGGCAGGAAAAGGCTGGAGAAACATGGCTGTCGCTAGAGCAGGCCGCAGCAAGACAACGAGACGTGTTAAGACGTGTTCAGACACGGATCGTACGGTGCATGAGCTCAGCTGGCAGGGGAGGGGGAGGGGGGAGGAGACGGTGTAGACAGCGGTCGGAGAGAAAGCCACAGGGGTCCAGCATGACGAATGGAGGGATATTATCCCAGTAATCCTTGAAGGTCGAGAGAGAGCACGGTAGAGCATTGTAGAGAGGAAGTGGGAGTAAAGAGTGGGAGTAGTCCGGACAAAGAAGTGTTTGCGCCGTTTGCACCGGCTACACCGGACCCCCGAAGGGAGGACGGCTTATCTAAGCGTGAGCCGAATTCCGCCTAGCCGCAGGGGAAAGTTTGTTCCCAACATCTCCGTCGTTGTTGAAGATAACAATCTCTCTCCTCCTCCAGCCCTTCGCTATCCCTCCCCCCCCCCCCCCGGTTGGACTTCTCCGCTTCGTCCATTCCATCATGTTGTTCCGCGCTGCGGTCCGCCAGTCCGCGCCCTTGAGGCGTTCGGCCTTCACTCCCCTTGCCCGTCGCTCCGTCACCACCGACGCCGCCTCGTCGCATGCTGAAAATGTCCCCCAGGTTGGTTGAGAGCTCCCTGGAAGCCCCCGGATCCGCCTCCGGAGCCTCCCTGCTAATGCGGTTTGGTCTGTCAACAGGAGGAGGACAAGCCCTTCACCGTCCGCCTCTCCGATGAGAGCTTCGAGACCTACGAGATCGACCCGCCTCCGTACACCTTGGAGATCACCAAGAAGGAGCTGAAGGATATGTACTACAACATGGTCTCGATGAGGTATGGCCGTCCGCCCAGTGCGAAGCTTGCGTTACATGCACCCCCCTCGTCTAATCATTCCTCAGACGCATGGAGATGGCCGCCGACCGTCTCTACAAGGAGAAGAAGATCAGAGGTTTCTGCCATCTGTCCACCGGTCAGGAAGCTGTCGCCACCGGTATCGAACACGCCATCACCCGCGACGACAAGGTCATCACCGCCTACCGTTGCCACGGTTTCGCCCTGATGCGCGGTGCTAGCGTCCGCTCCATCATCGGTGAGCTGCTCGGTCGCCGTGAGGGTATCGCCTACGGCAAGGGTGGTTCCATGCACATGTTCACCCACAACTTCTTCGGCGGTAACGGTATCGTCGGTGCCCAGGTCCCCGTCGGTGCTGGTCTCGCTTTCGCCCAGCAGTACAACGGAGAGAAGACCACCAGCATTGCCCTGTACGGTGACGGTGCCTCCAACCAGGGTCAGGTCTTCGAGGCCTTCAACATGGCCAAGCTGTGGAACCTCCCCGTCCTGTTCGGTTGTGAGAGTAAGTTTTGCCCGAATCTTGGCCCAACGGCCACAATACACCATAAGCAAATCTAATTACTCCCCACTCAGACAACAAGTACGGCATGGGTACCTCCGCCGCTCGCTCCTCCGCCTTGACCGAGTACTACAAGCGTGGTCAGTACATCCCCGGTATCAAGGTCAACGGCATGGACGTCCTGGCCACCAAGGCCGCCGTCAAGTACGGTAAGGACTACGCCGTCGCCGGCAACGGTCCCCTCGTCTTCGAGTACGTCACCTACCGTTACGGCGGTCACTCCATGTCCGACCCCGGTACCACCTACCGTAGCCGTGAGGAGATCCAGCGCATGCGCAGCACCAACGACCCCATCGCCGGTCTCAAGCAGAAGATCCTCGACTGGAACGTCTGCACCGAGGACGAGCTCAAGACCCTCGACAAGACCGCCCGTGCCCACGTCGACTCCGAGGTCGCCATCGCCGAGGCCATGCCCGCCCCCGAGGCCAACTCCCGTATCCTCTACGAGGACATCTACGTCCGTGGCTCCGAGCCCAAGTGGATGCGTGGCCGCACCGTCGACGAGACCTTCTACTACTAGAAGAATTACTTTTTTTGATTCCCCTCATCATCGACACCGCGGAACGGAATGCGAAGCGACGCGAAGAAGAAGAAAATCAGCAAGGGGGTCGGATCGGGTTGGGTTGGGGTTCTGGAGTGGTGTGGTTATAGGTCATCCTTTATGACAAAAGTTTAGACCGATTGGATTGGCAACGCTCCTATGCAAGCACACCTATCCATACCATGGAACGTTTACTATGTAATTTAGCCGGGAATTTCTGTTTTTGCATCTCTCTCTCTCTCTATCTCCCCTACACAGCATTAGGAATATATACCTACGTTATTGGAGGTGGTGACTATCCTATACCGTTTCTAGTTTCTGTTCGTATAGTACCGTGAATGAATGGGAGATTGCTACTTACTATTGAATATACTACGCACGGGATAATGGAATGGAAGATATACTACTCCGTAGTAATAGTGTGGAATTTATGTCTGTATGTCTGTGTGTGTGTGTATGTATGTATGTATGTGTGTATGTATGTATGTATGTGTGACTATGTATCTTGTGCCCGAAAGTAGTAATGATTAGTTAGTTAGGTGGATAATGGTAGTTTGTGAATATCAATAACAAGAATAAGACGTAAGAAGCGATTCTGGATCGCTGACAACCTCCTCGATACGTTGTCGTGATAATAGGCAGTAACGGTATGGGTATCATCCAATAAAAATGCAGACAAAATATATAGAGTAGACGAGGAAGACAAGAGATCAAAGCGAAGAAAGAATTGGGGACCGAGAGGATAGTAGAAAGATGATAATGATAAACGGGTGGATGATGGGTGGATCATGCAGGCTCCTGTCTCAGCATCTCCAGGATCATCTCCTGCGTTCTCTGAACGGAATCCAGTTTCTCCTCGAGCGTGGCGCGGTCTTTTTCTAGCTCCGCGCGCATCTCCTGGCGGAGTTCTTCCTTTAACTTGTTGATTATCTCGGGGGAAATGCCGGTCTGCTCGATGGAACCGGTGCTGCTGTTGGTGGAGGTCTCCTCCACCGATTGAACTCCCGGTTGTTGATGTTGCTTCTGCTGATGCTGTTGCTGGTGCTGGTGTTGCGGTTCGCGTGGACGAGAATCCGGTGGTGGGACGGACTTCATGGCCGATCCAATGGGGGATGGGGTCGGGGGTAGCTGCGTGCTGACGGAGTCCAGATGACGGTTCAGTTTGCCCAGTGTCTCCAGCATCGCAGTCATCATGGAGCTATCTGACGATGCCGGATTGCCTGCCACGGCCATGGCCTGTGCCGCCCGCTGCGCCGCATACCCAGCGGGCACGCCAACCATGGGCGACGGCGTGGGCGTCTGCAGTCCCTGATTCCCAAACATGTTATCGAACCCCGGAGGCAACCGCACGGTGTTCTGCGGCACGGGCGTCGTGAACACAGACTGTGGGGCGGAACTAGATGCAGTGCCAGCTCCAGCTACCGGACTCACGGCGCCCCTCCATCCCTCAGTTGAACTCATATCCCAGGCCTCCCACGCCCGGTCCTTCCTCTTCCTCGGTCTCCGCGAATCGCGCCTCTCGATCCGCCGCGCCTCCGCCTCCTCCCACTTCTGCCAGGTCGGGATCCACGCATCCACAGCCGTGCTCCATTGGCGATTCGACATATCCTCAGCCGCGCTGTCGCCCTTCTCGCGCTGCTCCTCGAGAAACTTCATCCGCTGCTTCGTGACAAACTCCACCTTCCGTCGCACGGAATGCCACGAGTACGGGTGCCCCTGGTCGCGCGTGAACTCCGCCGTCACGGTCATCCACCATTTGCACAGGTTACTGCGTTGGCCGAATTGGCTGGCGTGACGGTTGCAGATGTTGAACAGGGACACCTCCTCGAGGGTCGTGAGCCGTTTGCCGTGCTTGCGCGAGTTGTCGCCGCCTAGTCCGCCGTTCGTGCTGTCGGGGTCATCGTCACGGTCCTCCTCCATGGCGTTGGGCCGGATCAGGTTGACGGCGGTGTTGAGGAGGCCAGTCCGGTTGCCTGCCGCGGCATTTTTGTGTAGTATTCCGGCGTTGGTAGCGGTTGTTCTGGTGGAATGGGGGATGGAACTTCCCGGGGCTACATCGTCGGGGGAAGGAGCGTACTCGGAGTCTTCCAGGTTGGTGGGATCGCGCGCACCACCACCATCGGAGTGGTAGCTGTCGTCACTGGAGATGGATTCGGGCTGCTGAGGGGAGCGCGATGCGATAGGAACGGGGGCGGGTTGACGCTGGTGGTGGGGATGGGGGTGAGGATGAGGATGGGCATGAGGGTGGGAGTTTTGCGGCTGTGGTTGTGGTTGGGGCTGGGCTTGTGGTTGTTGTTGCTGCTGCTGCTGCTGCTGCTGCTGCTGCTGCGCCTGGCCCATGCGGAGATTCGAGGATAGGTTGGGGAGAGGCGTACCCCGCGACATCATGGAGGGGAGCCATCGTAACCCCGGCATCGTAAAAGAGGACTGGGAGGACGAGGACGGGTCAATTCGAGGTGCAGATGAGGCAGCGGCGTTGTTGGTCGTGGAACCATGCCAGGGATACATGGACATGGTCTGTGTGGTGTGTTGTGGGCGTGTGTACTGGCAGTGGGGTAAGGGGAATGAATCTCGGGGACAAGGGATGAAGGGGCAGCAGTGGAGGCGCTGCCGAGTGCAGGCGTGGAGGAGGAGAGGAAATGAAGCCGCAGCGCAAGAAAGTCGGCGATGATTGAAATGAAATGATGGGACGTTGGACTGAAAATTGCCCCTTGGGATTTGCAATTTCACGGGTTGGCGAGCAAAGCCCCCGCCGATCGCGCTTGGCTGCGTGTATTTTTCAGCCGGCGGTAATCCAGATACAGTGGGGGCCCTCCTGCCTCAATATAGATCAATGTAGATAGATGATCCGGATTATTATAAAGGTCAGGTGGATGATAGAGATTGTATAGATTATACAGATCAGAATACTACTACAGATCGAGACAATAACGGTAGTAGTAGTGAGATATTTATTCAATTGATGATGTACATTGTGCTCATCCAGCTCCAACACCGTCGCAACATGACTATGACTTTTGCCCTTCCCTCCAGGGAACAGGCACAGAGAGAGATCGATACATGCAGGAGATCTAACAAACAACCATACCAGAGACCCAGTAACACAACACTGGCGAACATGCCCGCAGAACATCGAAAGAAAAAGAAATCAAAGCCGTCAATCACAGGGGGGGGGGGGACAGATTATTACAAGAAATTCAGGCCTCTACCGCCGTCTCAGGTACCACGTAAAGGCCATCGTGCCGACATGATCGGAGAAGGGCGAGGGCACCTCCGACCAGCCGGGCCTAGCCACCGGGTGTCGCAGATACACGGCTGCGCAGATGTTGTGGTTGACCTCCAAGTAACGGGGGATCGTGGCGAAGGCCGACATGTAGTCGCGCGGCAACCAGGGCGTGGCGTACGGCTTGCTGTGATCAATCGGGTTCTCGCGCATCTGCACCAGTGCGCGCTTGAGGACTTCCAACTCTTCATCGTCCAGCTGGGTCATATCCACCTCCTGGTTTTTGGAAGCCTGGAGGAACGCTTCCGACAGGTTGTCACGTAGAGTTTGTTTGTCGCTGGTAGAGGGCTTGGACTCAGACTCGGCAGGCCTGGGCACCTTGAGCTCATCGGACTCCTCGGATCCCTTCTTTGCCTCCACTGCCTTCTCCGCCTCCTCTGCTTTCTCTGCCTTCTCTGCCTTCTCTGCCTTCTCTGCCTTCTCTGCCTTCTCTGCCTTCTCTGCCTTCTCGTCCGTTTGCTGTTCTGTTCTCTTGGCCTTGAGAAGAAGAGTCAGTTGGGAAAACTGGGCCTCGAGACTGTCGGTCAGGATGGTGCTCGATTCGGAGCGGGACAGGACGCGTTTGATGGCCTTCTGGAACCCACGCAGCTGCTGCTTGCGTTTGGCGGGAAGTGTGCTCTTATCGGTGGACAGGATCTCCTTGGCCTGGAACAGCAGGGCCTTCAATGTGTCGCGCGGGTCCATCGGCTGTTCTTCCTCGGGCTGAGCCTCGGCGGGCTCCTGCTCCTTGTCCTCCGCCGCGGCCGCCTCTTCCCGTGCCTTGGCTTCCTCCTCCGCCTTCTTCGCTAGACGGCTCTCTCGACGGTCACTCCTGTCTTTCGGGGCACCGGTGGCGTACATGACACGATCGGGCTCAACCTGGAACAGGTCGCCGGGGTTAAGCAGGTAACCAGGGTATTTCATCTACCGGGAGGGAACAAAACATATCAGCCGGGTTGCTTCCCAAGAATCGCAGGAGCAAACACGGTAAGCCGGGTCCGACCACATACCTGCTTGCCATTGACGGTCACGGCGCCATGAATCACAAACTGACGGGCCTGGCGGGCACTGCTGGCGAACATGGCCCGGAAGACGGCGGTATCGAGTCGACGCTCCAAGGGGGCGAAGGTCATTTGTGCGTACGGGATCGGCTTTTCATCCTGTTTAAAGGCTTCCTCCTCCGTCTGATGCAGACCGGCACCGCGTCCAGCGGACATTTTAGAACCGTCATCTTCGGCCAGTTGCCGCGCGTTCATGGACACCACGCTGCGGATGCGGGGAGAGAACATGCGCGCCCATTGCTTCTCGGAGACCTGCTCGCCGTGGTAGTTACGAGCGACGGACTTGGCGTCCCATTTCTGTTGGAAATGGGTTCGTACGTGGGGGGGCTTCATCCTGAATCGCTGCATGTTATACAAGTTCCATTTGCTCCATGATTGCCGGATTTTCTAAAGCACGCAGACACAGAGAGGGTTAGCAGGTGCCGCAGGGAGGGAATTGTGCAGGAGAAGGAGGTCGGTTCCACTACTCACCGGCTTCTTCAGCCCCGTGGTGGCCCTGTTCCTCATGATGGCGCGCTGGGGAGTGTAGCCTGCTGTTCGCAGATGTCTTGTCTCGCTGCTTCGGGCCTGCCTTTCCTCCCCGGCCGGCCAAAACTTCGCAGGGGCACGTGACTGTAGCACGTGACAGTGCTCATCCTGAATGCCCCAAATCTCAGGCAGCAGCAGCATTCCCCATCCGCGGCCTCCCATTGGCGGCGGGAGCTCGCTTGCCACTAGCGCGGCCTGACCGCCCCCACCCAGGGGTATATAACCCTCTCCCGCCCGTCCATCTTTTGACCTTTTTCTTTCTTTCTTTTCTTCATACTTACCTTGTTTGGGTGGCTGCGATCAAGAAGGCGGCCCACCACAGATTGGTCCCTGCATTGCACAGCGCGGCGGAACAGTCTGTTCAACGGCTTTCGGGTCATTGACAGGCGTATTCTTTGGCATCTTCCACTCCGTGGATATCTTTCTTTTCATCATTTCCTCGTCTTGCGCGGGGGTATGGAGAAGGGATGTAGTAATTCATTCGTAGCTGGCGTATGTGATGTATAATCAAGGTGTCTTCTCACATTTCCATTCTCATACCCTCCGGGAACTCTTGTTTGCCATATCAACACGTACATGATTCCCTTTTGTATTCTGGGTACACAGCTCATCGTCCCAACTAGTAGCCGAGACTGTCGTCTACTATATCCGACCGCATCTTGTACGTGTTTATCTGGTACCCTTCTCGGCAGTATGTCAACGCATGAATGTTAGAATCATTCCTACCGGGTAGTAAAAGTATAGCAACAAATTAAGCAAACTAATCTAGCTAGCTCCCCACCGAAAGGATGAGGAGGCTACTCTGCACACACGTTCAACTCTCTTGAAGTGAATAAAACTGAAGTCGGTGCCGTACTTGATCTAGCATTGTTTCGGGTTGTATATATAAATAACCAGAGGCATCGCTATCACGGAAGGCGTTTGGAGAGCCACAAGTACTCAACTCCATCATCCTACTGCTATATAACCCAGTAAATACCACTGACTGATCCTGTCTTCAATTTCTTTAATATATTTATCATATAGTATCATTTCTCCTCTCCTCTTGGTATCATCGTGAAAATAGATGTGGTGTAGTACACCGTCCATGCCCCAGAAACACCGATAGATGCGAACAAATCCCCAACCACAGTCCCCATAAGATACAACCTCCTGCTCTTCATCAATCCTCGCGCTTCGCGTGGGGAAACGCTTCCAGCAGCGATTCGGCTTCTTCCGGCGTTACGGCATCATCGAGGATCTCATGGGCCATTTCCACCGTCTCGTCGTCAATCCCCGCCTCAAGCACCAGTCCCTCGCTAAACGCGAGTCGCGTCATGACAACGATGAACTTCTGCTTCCCGCCCGCCACCCGGCCGAGCTTGGATTGCAGCTCTGCCTGCTCTGGGTGGCGCTGCATGAGTCCGTGGACTAGCCGCATCAGTCTGTTGACCATCGCCGCGTGACGCGTCTTCTCCGGGGGATAGCTATATAGAGCGGTGAGCTCGTCGTGCATGACCCGAATTAATCGGCCCAGCACGGTGGGGTGGGACGCGACGACCATGCTGCCGTGCCTGTTGTCGGGCATCCGGGTGTTGAAGGCCAGGTTCGTCAAAAAGGCCAACCCTTCCAAGCGCATGTTGCAGATTTCGGTTGGCAGGTATGGAGGCCGTCCTTCGTCGACCTGTGGCCTCTCACTCAGGAGATGGGTGACGCGATCTACGATGTAATTCTCGACGGCTCGCTGTGCCTCCTCGGTGGGCTGGATAGGGCCGAACGAGTCCGCGCGGACGCTGGTGGACAGCAGACTGAGGATGAGGATAATGTCGTTGATCGGCTGCGCGCAATTAAGCAGCATCAGGACGTACTCGTAGTCCAAGAGTTGCCAAAACTCCGTTATCTCGGGCTCAACATGGATTCGTCGAGACACCATTTCGAAAAGCAGACTCAGGGCATCCGTGGAGTCGACGAGCGGCTGCAATTCTGATAACGGTGTCTGCCGCACCTGGCCCAGGCTCTGTTGCGAGACGGGGGAATGTCGGAACCGAGGGTTCCCGTTGATATCACCGGACCTTTTCAGGAGCGGTACCAAAAGCGCAGTCAAGCCAGAGTCGGCGGCTTGAACATCTTCAAAGAGAAGAAACCGCATGATGGACATGAACATTGGGACGGGCTGGTAGTACTTCTCGGTCAATGCGCGATCCCACAGGGAGATGATGGCTCGCGCATATTCCACCAGGTAATTACCAAAGTCCAGATTCGATGTCTCCTCCAACAGAATGGTGGCTACGGTTCGCTGCGGCTCGGAAGGAAATGCCAGCTCTGCCATGGCCTCGATATCGGGCTTTTCGTTCGGGTATGTCATGTGCTTCATGAGATTCTTCACGGTGCTGGAGTCTACAAAGCGTGCAGTCGTCTCCTCCGGCACCGCCTGATCCGGGGCGACATCGCCCATCGCATCGCCCATCACATCGTCCGTCGGCTCTACCGTCGGCTTTTCGACTGGTATAGGCTCGGGTTGGGGGCTTAATTGCAACGGAGGTTGACTGTCTTGGCTGAGCTGCCTCTTTCTTTTCCCTGGGACAACCGGTGTCGATCGTTTGTGCGCCGACTTGGTGGGAGAAACGGCGAGAATCTCATCATCATCGAACCCATCGCGGAAGGGGAGGATCCGGTTCTTTTTCGGTGTCACGGGCGGAGGTTTCTCTCCAGCCCGGCCCTTGCCTTTCAACCGATTTGTCTGCATTGATTCCTCGGCTAGTTCGTGCTCGAGGAAGGCGTTTCTCGTGGCGAACGTCTTGCCCTCCTCGCGGGCAGCCTCGATCTCTTGTGCATGCCGCGCCGCGTCTTCCGCCATGGTCTTTCGCAAGGCTGCTAGCTGTCGGTCATAGTTCTCGGCAACTTTGGCCTGGTTCGCGCGGATGATAGCAATCTCTCCCGCTTTGGATTCGGCCTTGGATTGGGCTGCAGCTAGCTGTTCCGCCATCTGCTGATGCCGAGCATTTTCCAATGCCAGCTATGAAGACGATCCGATCAGTATAACGAGGCTTAAAAGTCGAGCCATTCCCAGGGTTACCTTCTCGCTCAGCTCCGCGTAGGCCTTGTGGATTTCAGGATATCGAGAGGCAGGGACGCTGTCGTCTTCCACGTCCACGCCCACGTCCACGTCCATATCCATGTCCATGTCCATGTCCATCGGGTCCAGAAGATCCTCGCCTTGGCCACCATCATCCGCCATAGTCTCATGGTGCGGGTGTTGATTAGTAGCTGCAAAGGCCGCAGCCTGTTCCAATGGCGCGTTTGATCGAATGGGGACGCCATTGTTCAGAACCTCCGCGTCCAGTTCCCCAATGTCCCAGTTGTCGTAGTCACTGCTCAATGTGGTGTGCGGGTGGGGCGCCGGTTGTATCGTACTCGAGACAATTGGATCCTCGGAGATCGCTGTGCGGGAGTTCTGATTGGCAAAGGGTCGAGGAGGCCTATTCACAGGGGCGACAGGCTGCTGTGGCAGTTGCGGGGGGTTCTTCTGGGCCTGGGTTGCGTGCAATGCATTCTGCTCGAGCCTGAGCAACGTGCCGGCGGGGAGGTCATCGAAGCCATCGTCGGAGAAGAAATCCTCATCGTTATCTTCCATGCCCTGAGAGGGACGACCGCCATGAAAGGGGGAGGGAGGGAGGAAAAGGAGGGTGTTGGGGGGGGGGGGGAAGAGGGTGTGGGAAGTGAATAGCAAATGAATGCGGGATGGTTGGATGGTTGGGGAAAAGACGAGTTGAGAGCGACTCTGACGTCGTATTGATCGGGCGGCCACGGGATCTTTCTTCCCTGCGCGGTCTCTGCCTCTCTCTCTCTCTCTCTCTCGCTCTCCTCCTTGTCTTCTTCCTCCACCTCTTCTCCTCCTCCTCTCTTCTGCCTTTTTTTTTCCCCTCCGCCCTCTTCCCTCTTCCTTTCCCCATCTTGTTTCTTCTATCCTCCCGGATTGATTGGGTTTGCTGCAGCTTCACCCGAGCTCTTTTTGCAACCCCCCCCCCCCCCCCGGCTAATACCCGCCTCGAACTGTCTCCCCGGTCGCCTTTTCACATGAATTTTCAGTAGCAGCCCGACGATCAACTGTTGCTTCCTCACCCTCGCCCGACTCCTTTCCTCCCTTCGAGTCCCACTCACTCGCCTGGATCGGCCCATTCCGCAGCGTGTCCCCTGGTCTAGCCAGCCTCGAGAACCACTCACTGCCTCCCCGCCGTCACGCCTCGAGAAGCCGCCTGGCTCCGTCCCCCTCCCCTGGACATCTTCCGCCATGTCCAAAACACGTCGGAACGTCCGCTTCCCCCGTCGCATGTCCAACGCCTCTGAAGGCCGGCGACCGAGCATCTCCGACGCCAGTGATGTTCTCTCCGACCCCGGCAGCCCGTCCAAGGACGGCAGCGTCGCGACGCCGGCCACAATTCCCGAGGAGGTGAGCTGCCTGCGTGGGTGTGGTGGTTCTGGTGGTGGTGGTGGTGGTGGAAATGCCATCTTTTGGCGAGACTGACAACGCGACCAGAAACCCGAAAAGCCCCAGCTGTCCGAGTACGAGAAGAAGAAGCAGACCTTTATCACGCGCACGATATGGACCTTTGTCATGATCTTCGGCTTCTTCATCGCCATGTTTTCCGGCCACATCTACATCATCGGCATCGTCACCGCCATCCAGATCGTCTCCTTCAAGGAGGTCATCGCCATCGCCAACGTGCCCAGCAAAGAGAAAAATCTCCGCTTCACCAAGTCGCTGAACTGGTACTTCCTGGCCACGACCATGTACTTCCTGTACGGGGAGAGCGTGATCTACTACTTCAAGCATATTCTTCTGGTGGACAAGGTGCTGCTGCCTCTGGCGACACACCACCGTTTCATCAGCTTCACGCTTTATGTCATGGGTGAGTGCCAGGTCTGCTAGTCTCGGTTGGCTCGGCATGCTGACGACTCGCATCTAGGTTTTGTGTTCTTCGTCGCGTCCCTGCAGAAGGGACAGTACCGGTTCCAGTTCACCCAGTTCGCGTGGACGCACATGGCGCTTTACTTGATTGTCGTTCAAGCGCACTTTGTCATGAACAACATTCTGGAGGGCATGATCTGGTTCTTCCTCCCCGCGTCGCTCGTGATCACGAACGACATTTTCGCCTACGTCTGCGGTATTACGTTCGGACGGACCCAGCTCATCCAGCTGTCCCCCAAGAAGACGGTCGAGGGCTTCCTGGGCGCTTGGATCTGCACCATCATTTTCGGGTACTTCATGACCAACATCCTCATGCGCTACAAGTACTTCATCTGCCCGGTCAATGACCTGGGCGCCAACGTGGTGACTGGATTGCAATGCAACCCCAACCCGGCCTTTGTGGCTCAGCCGTACCATGTCCCGGAATGGACCGGCATCGACAAGACCTTCTATGTCGAGCCCATCCAGGTTCACATCCTCATCTTCGCGAGCTTTGCCTCCCTCATCGCGCCCTTTGGCGGCTTCTTCGCCTCTGGCCTGAAGCGTACGTTCAAGATCAAGGACTTTGGCGAGTCGATCCCCGGCCACGGCGGTATCACCGACCGCATGGACTGCCAGTTTATCATGGGGTTCTTCTCGTACATGTACTACCACAGCTTCATTGCGGTGTACAAGGCGAGCGTGGGGGATGTCATTGAGACCGCCATCAACGGTCTCACGGTCGAGGAGCAGCTCGAGGTGGTGCGGGGGTTGGGCAAGTACCTGTACAACCAGGGCACCGTCTCCGAAACCGTAAGTCATCCTCAACCGTCCGATAGGTCACACCCTGCTAATGACAGCACATCAGATCCTCGACTGTCTGAACACCGAGCTCAAACGCCGCTGAACCTAAAAACCCGTCACGACCCGTCCTTGTTCCGTCCAACCTCTCTCTTTCTCTCTCTCTCCGTGATGAACTCCTCACCTTCTTCTCTCTCTCTCCTCTTTAATCGTCGGGGGCAATCCGAAGCTATGACTGACTACCATACACCTTTCTAATCACCTCACCTCCCCTTCTTCATCTCCTCCCGGAGCGCTCCGTCTTCCGATCTCATGGCCTTGACCGTTCGGGTAAAATGACCCCTCCAGCCTTCTCCGCTCGTGCCGTGCCTCCCGGGACCGAGCCTGAGCCTTTGGATGTGTGCATCACATTGGGTCATTGGTGTGTCACGTTTCAGGAAAGGGACTGACTGACACATGGTTGGTCGGGTGGGACCAGGGGCGAGGGGAACAGCAGGACCAACCAACCTACAAGATTACTTACTTACTTAGCTACCTACTCACTCGCATATAGTAGTCACTTGTCTGTTTCTTGGTCTGGGTTCCTCTCCCGGTCTCGTCTCTATTTGCGTTTTTTTTTTTTCTTTTCACTTTCTCCTTTTCTGTTTTTTCTTTTCTTTTCTTTTTACCTTTCTTCTGTTTGCGTCGATTCTATCTTCGTGTTGATTGATGGCGGTGGTGGTGAATGATGGTGATGTGGTGATGGGGATGGGATAGACCCTGCCCTGTCTCGCTAGGTAGACAGGTATTTTGTAAAAAACATGGATATATAGCAAAGCGAAACACTGTGGTGTTTGATAAACTCGGTGATTCAGTGACTTTTTTTATCCGCTGATTGATTGGTTCATTTCACTGACCGGTTGATTCTGGGATTGATTGGTTACTTACTATGGTAGTTAAGTTGCTGGATTGATCGACTGTATGTGTATTCATGATTATAGACAATACAATCATATCGGGGTGTTTGTTGTAGATGTCTACCTAGGTATGTATTCATGTATTTATGTATGTGTATATATCATGATGTATGTATGTATGTGTGTGTGTATATAACTGGGTGTATCTAGACAGGTTTCCCCTTTCCTTCAGTTTTCTTTCTTCATTGCTCTCTCGCTCTCTCGCTCCCTCCGCCTATCCCTCCATCCATCCAGTTCAACTCTAGCTCGCTTGTTCACTTCGGATTTCATCTTTGCGCGTGTTATGCAAATGGAGTGGAGCCTTATCCTTGTCGTCTGTTCTTCTCGCTTCCGTGGTCCCTTGTGCTGTGCTATCGTCTGTCTCTATTCAAGGTAGGATAGGATATCGACTGGAAGGGTCGGCCGGTCGGTCGGTCGGTCGGTCGATCTGGCGCTGGAAGCTGGAAGCTGAGTTGGACCAAGCGAGAATGGGAATGAAAGCTGCTGCACCACCAGAGCTAGGCCCGTCTTTGTTGCCACTTAGGCGTGGCGGACACCGACCTGTTCGTCAGAAGTAAGAACGAACCGACCGACAGACCGGTAGACAGCCATGCCTGGTGCATAGCTTGACTTGACTGGGTCCCGCCCCGGGAGCTGCTTGACGCGCGCGTGGTGATGAAGTGATAGTGATGATGATAGTAATCACTCTAGTGAGCGCCATGCACACGTGACAGACATCACAACCCGATGCATTAACCGCACCATCAGCGCCACTCCGCTGAATAATACAGCAATAGTCCGATGTCAGAACTGGGACTCTCATTCCTCAACTTCATACTCTTCCATCTCGACCTTAAAGTACTCCGTGACGTGGGCCCGCTCTGCATCCGCGCACTCCGGGTCCAGCATGAAGCGGACGGCGCCGTCGCGGCCCTTCTCGGTGGCTTTGGGTCTGTCCCCGTTCGCGGCGACGGGGGTGAGGGGGTGGAGTTTAGCGGTAGCAGTGGCCGTGGCTGTGGCCGTGGTAGCGGTAGGATCGGGGCCGGATTTCTCCCCGTTCGTGGGCTTGCTCTCGGCGGTCCAGTGCGTGTACCGCGGGAATTTCTGGGCCTCGGCCTCGGTGTTCAGCGGGATGCGGACGGTGAGGAATCGGTCGGCGGGGAAGTGAGAGCCCACGGTGGTTTGGCTGCGGTTGTGGGTGTAGAGTTCTAGCAGGTCGAGGAGGGTTTCTGGTTGGGGTGGTTAGATTGGGGTTGAATTGGGATAGGATTGAGGGGAAGGGAGGGGTTAGACTCACCCATGACCTCCTCACGACTGGTTTTCCATTTCGCATAATCGACGCCCTTCTCTACGGCCTCGATGCGCTGGTCGAGTAACCGACCTGCCAGTTCTAGGCACGTGAATGCCATGGTCGAGGTGGTTTGCTTGATGGGCGCGTACGTGCGGTACAGATCCTGCGAGATGCGGTATGCCACGTTGGAGACCTCTGACTGCAGCGTCAGGCCGTACTGGCGGGCCAGTTTGACGAGTGTCTTTTGCGGGTGACGGGTGCGGAAGTCAAAGCCGGATGCTTCCAGCATGAGCCTTTCCAGGCCGATGATGCCTCGGGCGTGCGCTTCGAAGACCTGGTTCCGTTAGCTGCGGTTGCGTGGGATGAGATGAGATTGGGGTGGAGTGGTTGGCTTACCGGGTTGTCCGGGGCCATTTGCTCCTGGGGAGGCTGCTTGAGATTGTACGCGGCGCAGACAATCTCGCGGGACCGCTTCAGCGTGTCCTCGATCTTGCAGGCGGTAAAGAGAGCTGCCGCTGCGGCGTCCTATGCAGGGTCAGAAGGGGTTCGTCCGTGAAGGCTCGACAAGGGGGTGGGTACCATGTAGTTGTACTCGTTGTCGGGGTGAACGAGTCGGAACTTGTGGTAGTACACCACGGCCGTGTCGAAGGTGCGGATGGGTCTGGCTGCGGTCAGTGATGCTGGTTTCCCATGGTTGAGCATGCATGCATGCACTTACAGGCAGAGGACTCGGCGGACGTTGTCGATCCAGGTGACGCCCTGCAGGCGCAGCGATTCCTCGCGCAGGGGATTGACGCCCATGGCGGCGATGCATTTCTGGATGGTCTGCTCGAAGATGTACGGCTTGGCTACCTGGATGAAGGATGGGTGGATGGGAGGCGGCTCCGGGATGGCGGTGTCCGGGGCGCCCGGGGAGAGCGCCTCGTCCTTCCTGTCGAAAGCCATGCTGGCGGGGGGGGGGGGGGGGGGGGGGCTGTCGGGGAGTGCAACAGCGAGCGATGAGCGATGGAGGCGAGGCAGGAATGGAGGGATGGAGGATGTTGGATGTTGATGCTGATCGGCTTGTCATTGGCGAGATCAGATTGGTCAGGTGATGTGGGGCGGCATTAATCCGGTATTGTAACACGCTGATACATATAGATTACCATGTTACATACTGTGATTTATCTCTCCCATTTCAAGTTCCACTATATTGACTGGAGAGATCAGAATGAACTTAATATTAAAATCTTTCTTATGTTATCAGTTATGCGGTATTGAGATAGTCTATCCTGTTACACCGTGACCCTATGCCTTCTTCTCAGCCGGGAATATATAGTATATCCGTAACTATACTATAGGCTTAAAGACACAATCAAGGAACCCCCCTCCCCTCCCTCGTCGCCTTCGCCAACTCACTCTGCGCCTCATCATCCGCATACCTGCGATAAATCGGCAAATAGAACTCCCGCTCACTCAACGTCTCCCTGACGCTCCTCCTCCCCTGCACGGCAGTCAGCCACGTCCTCCACCTGGCCCAGATCTCCTCATCCGCGCCCCCCTCCCCGGGTCCCGGAATGCCCACGCCCCCCTTATACTCGTCAAACACCCAGAACCGCACCGCCCACGGCCCGAGCACCAGGTCCGGGAGTGAGATCTCCGAGCCGAGGAAATAGGGGCCGGTGGGGTGCATTTCCGCGGTCCATTGCTTGAGGGTGGAGAGGAAGTCTTGCTGGACTCTGGTTAGGCCGTCGGTGCTTTTGGTGGGGGTGGAAGGGGAAGGGGAGGGGGGTTGGTATTGCAGGAAGCGGTGGAACGAGGGGATGATTCGCGAGGTGACGAAGTCGATCCAGATGCGGGCTTTGGCGCGTTGGTAGGGTTCGCTCGGGAGGAGGGGCGTGTGCGTGGGGTAGGCCTCTTCGAGGTATTCGAGGATTACGGTGGATTCGTAGAGTGGGTGGTGGGAGGTGGATGGGGGGATGAGGATGGGTCTGGGACGGAGATGGTGGGGACGAGCCCGCGCGGGTTGAGGGCGAGGAATGAGGCTTGTTTGTGGTAGGGGTTGACTTCGATGTATTGGTAGGGGATTTGCTTTTCTTCGAGGGCAAGCCAGACGCGTTGCACTGGAGAGGGTTAGGTGGGTGAGGGTTGGCTCGAGGGGGGTTTGAGGGATTGTACCGAATCTGTGGGGTTGGTGAGTGAGTGACGAAGGTTCGATATTGTGGTGGTGACTTACGGACAGAACCACCCCGCATACAGCTTCAATGGCTGCTCGGCCTGGTGCTTCGCGACCAGCGCCTTGGCTGGACCCGTGGCTTCGGGGTGGATGGATGCGTCGGGGATGGCCATGGCGGAGTGGATAATAAATCCGGTGGATGGATGGAGGATCGATAAAGGCGGGGGATTCTTATAGAAAGGCAAATGACGGGGCGATGGTGTCATGGGATTATTAATTCACAACATGCCCCGCAGGCTGTAGATTGAACACCACCACCATCATCTCGACCGAGAGAGCATTAAGGCCACCCAGAATCGCCTGTCAAATAGATCCAGTGCTGTAGAGATAGATAGTCTCATTAAGCATCCCAGAGACCAAACCATATATACCTTCTTCCTCTACAGCATATAGTCCCCATCAATTCCCATACTTCCGCAACAGCTTCTGCATGATCGCGACAGCCCCCGATTTATATCCAGCCCCGAAGATCGCAAGGTGGTTCAGATGATGGTACCTGGCCGGTCAGTATAAGACCGAGACAATACTCAATAGTCAAGAGCCAGCCGGGATATAACTCACAGCTCATACAACCTCACGCGGTCATCGTACTCGTCCACCGGCTCTGTCTTGGGCACCATCTTGTGATAGTCCGTGAAGAACGCGCCCCCAAACCCCCCAAACATCTTCATGATCCCCAGGTCGAATTCACTGTGCCCGTAGCATGCCGACGGATCGTAGACCACATCGCCGGCCTCTTCATCCGCCTTTCGCCCACTGCCCACAATGCGACCCCGATCCGCATTCCCACACCACAGATCCCCATGCACCACAACCGGGGTGATCCCTTCCCCATGACCGCTCCGATCGTATCCAAGGTGCCGATCGCCCAGCAGCGCGGGGACCACCACGCGTGCCGTCCGCTCCACCATGTCGCGCAGGCCGGCGTCCAGCCCGTTGCGGGTCTCCGACGTCGCCAGGATCGTCAGCAGTCGCTCGTTGGCATAGAAGTCCGCCCACGAGTCGCAGTACCGGTTGGGCTGTTTCGTGTCGCCGCAGAACGTCGGCACAGGGAATCCAAACCGCCGCCGCCCCGTCTCCTGGTCGACCGGGGCAGGCGTCGAGTGCAGCTTGCCCAGTCGCTGCGCCAACGACTCCCCTCGACGGCCGCTCACCCCGAGATCGAGGAACTCGGTCGCCAGGAAGAAGCTCTTCCCGTTGCCTTCTTCCAGCGGGCCCCAGGCCAAAGCGCGTGGACAGAACCCCGGGACCGAGGTGGCGATCGCGTTGAGCGACTCGTATTCGCCGCGGAACATCTCCCCGGCGGCCTTGCCGTCGGCCGAGGTCTTGACGAAGTAGCGACGCTCCTCTTCCCCATGGCCGTCGGGGCTGGGCACCGTGGCGCGAATGGCTCCGGTGCTGGTGAAGCCGGATCCCAGGCCGGCCGTGGAGAGGCTGGCTTTGGCGGGGTCGGGGATCTCCAGGATTCGTAGTAGCGAGTCGGGTACGGGGGCCATTGTGTCGGGAGAGTCAAGGGAAAGGAAAGAGCTGGGGAAGGTGATGGATGAGAAGGGGGATGGGGAAGTTAATTAAAAGAGTTGGTTGGAGTTGGTTGGTTGTACCTGAGTTGGGCGCAGGCGAAAGACTGGCCGGAGATGATTTCAGTCCGATGACGTCAAAAGGTTGTTGCTTCTATCGAGCTCCGTTTAACAAGCACACACACAATGAAGACAGACAAATTCGGGTTCATCATCATCATCGTCATCTCTACGACTGGAACCAAGTCTTTGTACATCCTGCCCATGTTATCTTGCCAACCCCAGAGCTTCTCCCACAGGAGATTGATGAAGGAGGGATAAAAACAAACAATAAAACAGCAAGGCATCATCAAATCCAAACTCAAGGTTAAATCACCGCTATGCATGGGTCAGAGAAGTCACCATATCCTGCGCCGTTTTCGTCCGTTCCCGCACGTCTAGATCGGGGTCATCCGCCAGACTGGCCAGTTGCTCCAACACCCCCATCGCCCGCAGTCGGTACGCCCGGTCCCGACAGCCCTCCCGGTCACTGGCGTCGTCCTGGTACGTGAGGTTGATCACCACCCACACGCAGTTGGTCCGCACATCCCGATGGTTGTGGTTGAAGTATTCCATCAGGTGCCGCAGCAGGCTCTCGTGCGCCACCAGCAATTGCCGGTGCCAGGGAAGGCCCGCCGCGATATGGATGATCACGTAGGTGACCGACACCAGGATCTCCGCCGGCACGTTCAGCGCCCGGTGCGACGGCGACTCCCGCCGGTGCGGAAGCTGGATCGAGCGCGGCCGCAGCTTGTCCGCTAAAGAGTTTAGAATGAGATCCTTCCCGATCGCCTCGAACAGATGGTCAATCATCTCGGCTGCACCTGGCCCGCAGAGGATGTTCCGTATCAGGTCGAATGTCTGTTCTTGCACCGCAATGTCATCCTGCCGCGCCTGGGTCGTCTGGTCGAGGTCGCCATGTAGCGCCAGCTTGCGTCGCCGCGTGGCATCCGGGAGGAACATGTCCAGGCTCATCTTAGATGGGGGCATGCTGTCCGCCATCTTCATATCCTCGTCGCGCCCGGAGGCGTTCTCGACCGGGTTCAGTAGATCCACCCGCTGCCCCGCCGAGTTGGCCCGGCTCATCCCCGCGCTGGTGTTGCTGTCCATCTCATCGTCTATTCCTCGCTTGGCCAAAGCATTGGTTGGGTCCTGGGTGATGACTTGCTTGATCCACTCGGCGCCGAGGCCTTCTATTATCTTGACTTTAACATCGTTTGTAGAGTTGTATGCGACATGCTTCAGCGCCCACAGCGACTCGATGCAGAGCTTGGTGCTCGGGGAATGCGCATGCTCGCACAGTGCGGGGAGAACGTCCGCGGAAATGATCGCCTGCTGTGGTTAGCGCTCGGTCTTGGGTCGTAGGTTGATGAACTAACCTCCTTCATCGGACTGAAATCCAACGCTAGGTTGCAGATTACCTGCGTGGCAGCAATCTGCACCTCGATGTCGGGATGTTTGATCAACACGAACAAGGGTGTCGCGACACCAGCATCAATCAGACTTGTCCTCAGCACACTGACCGAGCGGGTCAGCATCCGCGCTGCACCGCAAGCAGCCAGCAAGGTGGGCGTCGGATTGCCATGAATGGCAGTGTTTTTAGGAGTCGACGTGTCCGTCGGCTGATCATCCGAGCACGGTTTCAGCGAGTCGATGATGTACGGCACCACCCCATTCTCGCAGACGGCTTTGCGGTACTCGTCTTTGAGCGGAACCAGAGCAGCGAGAGCCTTGAGAATGTTCTCTCGGTACCGCATGACATGGCAATGGATGGGCGAGAAGCCTGGGGGGCCCATTAGGCACTCTACAGGCAGCGAGTCGGATCCTTCATCCACACTTTCTTCCCCCTCGGCATGCCACATAGGACGGGCAGCCTCTTGGACTGGATTGTAGGTTTCTTTGAGGAGCTGCGAGAGCCTTTTGATGGCACTCCCGTCGACTGCGTGCCTCTGCAGCTCGAGGTCGTCGATTACCAAGGTTGCAAGCACGAACGGGGCCTCTTCCCTAAGGCGCTCAGTGGAAGGGATCAGCCCGCCGTATTGCACACCGTCGTCACCGGTCATTTCGTAGTCCTTGTCTAGCATCCGGATCAAGATGGGTATTAAGAGGTAGCCTAGCATCGACGCCCGATTCTTCTTGGTCAGCCCCAGGCGGAAGAGAACGGTGACAAGACGCGCCGCCATCAATCGGATCATGCCGCTTTCGGCGCGGATAATATACAAGAGCCACGGGACAACAGGGTTCTCTTCGTCGTCGGAAGATGGAGCGTCGTAAACCGCCATCGGCGTCGAGAACGACTGGCTGTGTCGGCGGTGGGTCGTGCCCTGGTGGCCCAGGGGCGGGAAGTTGGGGGTATTCGCCGGAGACTTGTTCTGAGATAAAGGTACTGGTGGCAAGAGATGTTCCAGGGGACTTGCACCTGCATGGCGCGGCACAGCCGATCCCGATAGATATGTTGAACCCCACGGACCTTTCTTGATATCCGTGGGCGCGAACTCTGGCACCTGGCGAGGGAACACAGTGATAATGCCGGGCGAGGAGAGGAAATGCTCCGCGCGCCACTTCGAATGTTCAATAATGACCGTGACGGCTCGTAGGATCGGGGCCAGTTTGGCCCCTGGCGGCGCAGGCGGCGGCAGCAACCCCAAAGCGCCTGGGTCCTGCACATGCGCCTCGGCACCGGGGAAGACAAACCCTTGGGCTACAATGAAGGATGCTACCTTCACGGCCAAGGCATCCAACACTCCACGTTCAGCCAGGACTGCCTTATGACTTTCCTCCACACACAGCTTGCCGACGAGAGATGCCGCAATCTCAATGGCTGCTTGGTCCTGGTGATGGCCATAATCCTGACCCAGAATGCGAGCTAAAAAGCCAATATGGTCGTTGGAGAAGAGTAGGTCGGCTAGGCGCGTGTCTTTCGATGACTGCGGTTGGCTCTGTAGTGGCAGCCGGTCGGCGATATTATTAAGGGCCCGGAGGATGGGGAGGACAAAAAAGGAGGGACAGTCAGGCGAGGAGATGATTGCCAAGAGGGTGGAGAGTATGCCGCTGGAGAAGATAGGTGAGAGAAAGGCCGCACCGCCTGCTCGAGAATCAGCCCCCGTCCTAGAAAACAGCGCGTGGTCGGTCCAAGCGCGATTTAATTACCTTGTGCTAAGCTCCCGAGAATGATAACTGCCTGGAGACACGCTTCGTCCTCCTCCGACGCGGGACGGCGAAGCTTTGCACCCTCGTTGAGCTCCGTGGAAGCAGCCGCTTTCCCGGCCGGCTGTCGGGCGGCCAAGATGTTGGCCAGGACGGGGATAATACCCCACCGGATCCAGGATTCCTTACGTTGGTCATGGCCAATGGTCTCGTTCTTGAGGCTCCGAAGGGCAGCCGCCTGGGCCGACAGGGACTCTGCATTCTGGAGCTGGAGGAGGAGCGGAGGTATCGAGGCGCGAGTCATGATCCACAGCAGTCGCCGCCTCCCGCGGGGAGGCCACTTGGATCGATTGCGTCGGAGAATAGAAGGGAAGCGCAGATCGCACAGAGAATGGGAGGATCGAGCTGGGAGGGAACGGACAGGTCAATATGCGAGGAAAACCGATAGGAGGGCGGATGGGGAAATGGGCCGGGAGGGTGGTGCACCGCCAGCTGGCCGGGAGGAGCGATGAGATGGATGGCTTCGATGGCGTTGGAAAGTCAATGAGCGACCAATGAATCCGGTGGGAACCATAGACAAAGCGTAGGTATATGGGCCCGAGGAGATCTAAACGGCGCGAAACAAGAACAGCCAGCTAGGTATGAGGGAGGGAGAAGAAGAAGAGCATAGCAAGGAGCAATGGAAGCGACATGGACGGGGCCGCAAGACAATCCGGGGGATGCTCTTCTGGACTGACGCAGCCGTCGTGATGCCCGTCGCCGCCCTCGTCCTCTTACCGCTTTCGGCCGTAGGTGTCAGGTGACATCACCTGACGAGGGGGGGGTGGGTGGGTCGTCTCTTTAGTCAGCACGCACCTAGATGACTCAGCCATGGCGGTAAAGGGACATCATGTGACTCAGCCCTACAAGTATTAGTCTCTCCATAGTTATTCAGAATTTTCGATACTAGCCGCACGCCGTCGCGGCGTGAATATCTAGAAACAGGAAACTAACGGATAGTTAGTAGTTAGCTAGCTACCCCAGGACGTCGGCATTCATGGGAAACAAGGGACGTCGGCGAGCCCACGACATATCTACCATCTAGCATGATAGTAAGGGTATTGAACCGCCACCTGTCACGAAGGAAGAGACCGGGTGGAGCAGAATTGCTTGGAAGTCCATCGGAGAGCCATTTGGAGGGCCGCAATAAATGAATCCTGACCCGCGTAAGGCACTGGTATCGCATGATCGAGGAACTTGGAAGTTGGGAGGGACGGGCGCTCCGGGACGAGGGAGCGCTTAGCCGCCGCAGCGCTCCCCCCTGATCCAGCGCCTCCCTGCTCCCCCCCTCCTCTTATGCCATTGACTCCTTCTGAATATAGTAGCAGGTCCGCGCTATCGTATCGCGATCACCTGAGTCGTCGACTCGCCAGGCCCCTGCAATCAGCAATCAATGGCCCAATAAGACGATCCCAATGCGAGGAGTTTTTCGCAGGGTTCTAGACTACTCCGTCCGCTTTCCGGATGGGCAAAGCTGTTCTCCCCCGTCCACCGTATCGGGTAATGAGTGTACAACGGTGCGTATCGGGGTCAGCGCGGTAATCTGCTTTCTACTCTGTACCACTTCTATCTATCTACTAGATACTAACTACTAACTAGTATTAGTATCTACTGCCATTACTAGTTAGCGGTAGTAATAATAGTGGTTAGTAGTACTCCGTAGTAGGTAAAGAAAGGGCCTTAGAAGGTGGGTAATCGTTGTTGTTAGTGTATGTATGGGGCCTGTAATGTTGCCGGACTAGCCTGAGGTTAGCTGGCTCGGCGGGACTGGTGATTAGTGGAGGCCCCCCCGGCTGACAGATTCCCTGCTTTTTTTCCCTGCGTGTGATACCGTCCGTACCGCCCCGTACGACTGGCGTACACGAAATTTTCTGGAAAGGGAAGTTCCCCTCCCTCGTATGTGGCTTTGCCTGGGGATCGTCGTCATTATTGTTATATGATTTCTCGCTCGCCGGGTCTTTCTTCTCGCCCGACAGAACTCTCTTCCTCTTCTCCTCTCTCTCTCTCTCTTTCTCTCTCCACCTCCACCTTCTCCTCTCTATCCACCTCCTCTCCCACACGCCCCGTCAGGTTCTTCTCCCCCCAAGAGCTGAAGCTTTTTTCTTCCCCGCAGATCACGATGCGTCTGTGCACGCCACCTCTCCCCCTCGCAGCAGCACAAGGTTTCGCAGCGTCTGCCAGCTTCGTTGCACGTCGTTCAGTCGTGCGCCCACGTGGTGGCCTCGTTGGGCGGAAATGCTAGTTTCATCGCCCTCGCCGTCCGCCGCCCTGCGTCCGGCTCCTTCGTCTCCCTCCACTCATCCTCATTCCCATTCCCACTCCCACTCCCACTCCCATTCCCATTCCCATTCCCATTCTCATTCCCATCCCCCTCCCCCTCCTCATCCTCCTCCTCTCCCTTCTCTTATCCTCGCCATCCTCCCACCACGGCGCCGTACCATCCGAACCACCCGCCCCCGCCCCAGCATTATGAGCCCGCCGGGCACGCTCCTGCTGCGTCGAGTCCTCGTTTTGATCCGCAGTCCTCCCGTGTGGCCATCGAAGAACTTCGATCGGCTCTAAACCGGCACACCGTTGGCCCATCCCCCCCCGGGCCCTCAGGGGATCTCCCGCGCGGTCGGATGTCCGCTGGGCACACCTCCTCTGGGGGCGCAAGTAACACCATCGCTCATCCGTCTGCTGACGCCGTCATCCCCGCCTCCAATCCGACGCGCCCTCCTCAGGATCGTCCTACCAATAACGTTTCCGCCCCTCCTGTACCTGCAGCCTCCGATCCCGCCCCAGGTCCCCAATCAATATCTACCCCTCCAATGCCTGCTCCAAATAGTGCTGGCTCCGGGTCCAACAAGCGTAACAGCCCGAACGACCCTGCCGCCAATGGTGCGCAGACCGGGGGTCTCGCTGCCGCCGACCTGGAAGGCTCCCAGGCCAAACGCCTGCGACCGGACAAGCCCGAGGTCAAGGTGCTGCCGATCCGATACGAGCTGGCGGACCCCCGGGACATCGTCGTCTTGATCTCGAGCATGCTGATGGAGCTGATCCATTTCAATGACAAGATCCCGCTGAACCAGGGCCGTCTGACGCGCTTCCACTCGCGGTCGCCGCCGCGAATCTCGGTGCATGATTACCTGCAACGACTGGCTACCCACGCCACGCTGTCCCCGCCGATCCTGCTGAGCATGGTGTACTACATCGACCGGCTCTGCGCCCTCTACCCGGCGTTCACGGTCTCCAGTCTGACCATCCACCGGTTCCTCATCGCCAGTGCGACGGTGGCCAGCAAGGGCCTGAGCGACAGTTTCTGGACGAATAAGACCTACGCCCGAGTGGGCGGTATCACCATGACGGAACTGGCGCTCCTCGAATTGGAGTTTCTGTTCCGCGTCGAGTGGCGCATCGTGCCCGAACCCGAGGTGCTGGTGGACTACTACAAGAGCTTGGTCGAACGGTGCGATGGGTATACGATCCAACGTGACGGTTGATCCCGCTCCGACTACACAAAGATTTAGACCGGTTTCATATAGTTCTGGGCTTGGACGGCGCGAGCTAGGGATGATCAGGCGGTCATGGGGCCTATGTGTTTGTACTGGTACATATAATACACATACACGGACATGGAGTTGCTGTTCTGCATAGCTTGATGGCGAGGAGCGAACAATGTTTTACGGCTGGTGTTGTTTTGCTACATGAGATTGCGATCTCTGTTTTTTTTTTTTTTTTTTTTTTTTTTTTTCTCTCGTTAGTTAGCCTCGATACTGTTAATAGTACGTCATGTACAGACTAAGTACCCATGCAAGCCATGCTTCTGCATGCTTCTGCTCTAGTATTACTCTGTAGGGACGTATCGGATTCCCCCTCTGCTATTTGCTGGGCTAGACGATGACGTCTGCACTTCATCCCACACACGCTAGCCCCGATGCAGTGGAAGTAGGGCTTAGGTCTTAGGGTACAGGGTCCGGAAGAGATGCGGGATGATCTGAAGTTCACCTCAACATGCCAAACCACTTCTCTGCTGTCGACCCTTGGTTTCAATCAAACCAGGCCATGACACGACTCTGACCAGCGCTCGATAACGCCCCGTTATACCGCAGAGACACCCGCGCTTCATGGACGCCGAGGAGCTTCTTCGCGGGATCACGCCCCTCGCGGGCGACGTGACTGCCATCCGGACCGTGCAAGAAACGCGTCCGCTCGAAGAATTCGGTACGTCTGCGTCTGCGTCTGCGTCTGCCCCTCATCGGAATCGCAGAAGCTTACCCATCCCTCCCCAGCCGACGCATACGTCGCGGAAGTCAATGTCAAAAGCGCCTCGAAGGTGATCAAGTGAGTGAGCTCGATGCCAACATCCACGCTACGCCCCCTTTATCATCTTCTAACAGCCCAGAGCCCTGGACTCGTCTTTTCCCCGCGACCCGTCCCAACCGATGAACCACCTCCGTCGCTTCGCAAAACACAACCAAGTCCCCGAGCATCTTCGCCCTGCCCTCCTCCGTGACGGATCCTCCCCGTCGCAGACCATCTTCGTCCTGATCTCCCCTCCCCTCCCCGATACCGAGACCCTACAAAAAGTCCTCGCCCCTTTCGTGCCGGAGAATGCCGTCTCCGAAGAGGGCGCCGTGCCCCTTCACCCCGTCCGCATCCCCCTCCAACCACCCATGACAACCGTCCAGGCCGACACGTGGTCGAAAAGCATGTGGCCCGTCGTGTTCAACCCCGCCGCACCCCGAGCGATGGTCGCTCCACCCCCACACGTCCTGAGCCGCGCCCGCGAGCTCATCCAGCCCAACGCAGGACGGTATCTGGCTCTGGCGCAGCAGATGGCCGAGGTGGCGGAACAGTCGGGTCTAGGTCGGGGGGTGGGTGCCGTGGTCGTTGACCCGGACCTGGAGGCGGAGATCGAGATCGACGAGACAGACGAGGCAGGGAATATCCGCTGGGCGGACGCGGTGGTCGCGGTCGCGGGTGACGGACGGTACTCGCGTCGCGAGGTAGGCATGGACGACCCGCCGCAACCGGGGACCGGCCCGAACCCCAATATCCAGACGTATGACGCCGATCGCGAGGGTGGCCCGGAGCTGCATGCGCTGATGCGCGTCGTGGAATTGATCTCCAGCAAGCGCCGACAGGACGGCCCCGTGTCGGCTACCGGTCGCCCGTGTCTGAATTACCTGGAAACGTACTTCATGGCGCAGTCGGATGTCCCGGTGTCGGAGTCTCACGATTCGTCCCCCGTGCCGGAGAAGTATCAGAAGACCACGGAGACGGCCGCGCATGCCATCCACAAGGAATCCGAGACCGAGGACGTCCCTGCGTCGCGCATCCGTCCCCGCTCGCAGGGCGGCTACCTGTGTACCGACCTGGATGTGTATCTGACCCACGAGCCGTGTATCTGCTGCTGCATGGGTCTGCTGCTGTCGCGCTTCCGGGCGGTCATCTTTCCGCGGGGAGGCCGGATGGTGTCGGGCGGACTGGCGTCCGAACCGGTCGTCCAGCCAGTGCCGGTGGAGACTGAGATCGAGGCAGAGGCAGAAGCAGAGACAGAGACGGAGGGTGAAGCGGCTGCTGATTCTGCAGAGGACAAGAAGAAGGGAGCAGAGCCAGCCAAGTCGCGGGAGTACTACGGGCTGCACTGGCGCAAGGAGCTGAACTGGCGGGCGTTAGGGTTCGAGTTTGTAGAGGAGCGGCCAGTCGCGGTGCGCGCCGAGGAAGGCGTGGCTTTTCACGCCTGACAGATGGAGTATACTACTAAGTAATACCTATAAATCGGACCCTAATCCCAGTTGCAGCATATGTCCAACATCATACAACCCAAGCAGCGATTGACCATCCCTGGGAGGTGTAAACCGTGTAACCAACCCTGTATCAACCTCGCCCTCAACCACCTCTACTGTCAATTCCTACTACTAGTACTACTACTCCCACTATCACCACTCCTGTACCGTTCCAAACCTCGATATAAACACCACACTTCATCAATACAACCTAAGCCATAGGGTCGGGCGTGGGAGGACTGTGTAGTGTGTAGTGTGATGGAGAGGAGGGAGTGGAAAATGGAAATGGAATTGGAAATAGAAATGGGAAGGACAGGAGGGTGAGGTCGTGGTCTATCTACATAAGTATGTACATCGTGGCTGCAGGGGTCGGTTAGTTACTTTACTATACTCGTACGCAGATAAATTGCTATGCTGCATAAAGCGTCACATCATATTAAGTAGTACTAGCTGCCAGAGTAAAGCCAAGCAGGCAAGGAAGCATGGTCCCGCGTGCCCACATATCGAGGTGATCCCATCATACATAGCCCCGTTTTTCTCGTCCCATCCATTATTCATTAATCCACCCCGGGCCTTGCCATATACCTCTCTAGCCCCGCAGGAGCTGCGCACGGCGCGACAGAGCCGGGATCTTGCGGATAATAGGGTCGTGTGGAGACGTCTCGGCCACGGACATGTACAGAGCGTCCAGGCGCTGGATGAGAATGTCCATGATGCGCGGCGCGACCTCGCGGATGTCGTTGTCCTATGGCTAAGTCAGTAGATGTTACAGTCGAAGATTTCAGTATCACATACCATCGGGTTCACGGTCTGCAGGACCACTTCCAACCAGCCCAGTCGCTGCATCGGGTTGGTCTGCCACGACGAAGTCACAGCAACGCCGACAGACAGAGCCACGATGGGCGAGAGCGTCGTCAGGTACGACGGGTTCATGCGCACAAACAGGTTGTCGAAGAGATCCGCCTGCTGGGTTGATTGGAGCCACTGCACCAGTTAGCAACGTCAAAGACAAATCCGTGGGGGAACGGAACGTACCATAACTGAGCCTTCTTCATAGCGGCCCTGGGTGATCAACTGAGCGATCTCCTCCATCTCAATCTGCTCCGGAGTCTTGGTGTTGGCAACCGGAGCCGCCGCAGGCTGCTCGACCACCTCGGGCTCGGCTTCGGGCTGGGAGGCCAAGGCACGGTTGAGCTTCAAGACCTCGCTCTGAAGCTCGGATTGGGCCGACGCCATCGTGGCCACAGTCCCGGCAAGTTCGCGGACGAGCGAGGTAAGCTGGTCGATCTTGGCCGCGTCGTTCTGGCGCTGCTGTTCATGCTGTCTCGCCTGAGCCTGCATCTGCCTCTCCATGTTGACGGCGACCTTCTCTGCAGTCTGCGCGGCAACGTTTCGAATGGCAGGAGTGACCGTATTTTGCACAGCCTTGGCAATCTCACTCTCCACCTGAAGGGCAAGCTTCTGGCCGACCGCTTCAGACAGAATCTTCATCGAATCGGGCTGCTGCACGGCACGATGCACGGCCTCAGGCAGCGCTTGGCGAAGCTCACGGGGGACAATACCTCCCATCTGCTGCGCCACCACGGCAGTCAGCTGCTTGCCGACAGTAGCAGACGTCATATCAGCCAAAGCCGGAACGACATCAGCCTGGATGCTGTTAGCGACAATGCGGTTGAGATTCTTCTCGACATTGTCCGAAAGAGTGCTCGAGACGAGACGCAAGATTTGATCCTGTCTCTCTGACGAGGCCTGATCCCAACTGCGACGGTCGGCGTCGAAGCGCTGGTACAATCCCTCCAACTCACGGCCAAGACTCTTGCCAAATTCGGTAGAGACACCAGTCTGGAGCGCTTCAAGGTGCTTGTTCAGAAGAACAGCGGTTTCGCCAGCACTAACGCCAGCGCCGACAGTAGGGATGGCAGTCGGGAAAGCGGGCGCGGGCGCGGTGGGGGTCTTTTGTCCATCACCGTTGGGCTGCTCCAGGACAGTCTGGGCGGGAGATGGGGTACTGGAGTCGCCCACGCTCTCAGTAGCAGCGGGTTCCTTGCCCTTCGCAGAGGGTTCACTAGCAATGGCGGTGCTCTTCTTTTTCTTCTTCTTGTCGGCCTTCTCGGAGCTGTTGGTGGCAACAGACTCGGCCTGCTCTTCCGCCGGCTTCTTCTTGATGGTCACCTTAGTAGGAGACTGAGTGCGCAAGGTACTAGGACCAGCCGCAGCAGCAGCCTCAGTGTTCAACTCGGGAACCTTCCTGGCGATCTCCTTGGCCACCGGCTTGGTGGGGGTGGGAACCGCATCGCCGTTCACCGAGGGCTCGTCCGCCACGTACGTGGGGAAGGTCTGCAGCTCGGCAATGTCGACGTGGCCCTCCTCCAGGGCGTTGACGGGGCGGATGATCTTGTTGTCGGCAGTCCAGCCCAGGTCTTCCTTCTTAATGTTCAGACATGTCACTCCGCGCGAGTGCATGACATAAAGCTCGAACAGGCTGCTCTCGTCGCCAGCGCTCTTGGTGATCGGAAGAAGGTCCAAGCTGCGCAGCTGTCCCTTGGACGCGAACGAGATCTCGCGGATGCCGCTCATGCAGGCCGTCGACTCCGGCTTGGGCAGGCTGCTATCCTTCTCGCCCGAGCGCTTGATGAACGAAGCCTGCGACATCGCCGACAGGTTGTACCTGGGGGCAGACAGGTGGACAAAGTAGATCGAGTTGCGCGTAGGATGTCCGACAACGATGATGCCGGAGGATGGGTGGTAAGCGACACTGCAGATGGCGTCCGACTCGTTCTCGTGGGGGAACTTAAGCTCCTGCACAGCCTTGCCCAGCCCAATATCCCAGAGCTGCAGGGTGTGGTTCTGCTTGAGTCCCACCAGAACGTATCGGAGAGCCATCGACTTGACGTAAGGGCGCAGCTTGTCGATGAACAGGACCGAAGTGGGCCACGACTTCTCGGTCGGAGAGCCAGTGACGAAGGTGTTCAGAGGCACCCGCACCTCGGCCGGGTTGGGACCAGCACCGAAGAAGGCCGGGTTGTTGACCACCTCACGGATGTCCCAGAAGCGAAGGCGGCCGGTCTTGTCGAGGGAGGCGATGACGGTGTCATCATCACTGAACATGAAGTCCTTGCCAGCCTTTCCAGTCGAGATCTTCAGAGCACGCTCCTTGAAGAATTTTTCCGTGTTAACAACACGCTGAGGCCCCGAGACACCGTAGCTGGGGCTCATCGCAGCCTGAGGGGAGACAACATAGATGTTCTTGCCACGACCGATGGCGAAAAACGCCGGGTGACGAGAGCTCCGTTTGGCCCGCGTTTTCAGCTGGCCGCCCGAAGTGTTCTCATCCGACGCAGGGAAGGGCGGGAAGACGAGGCTCTCGCTCTCGAGGGCGTCCAATTCAAAAAGATCCTTGTCGGCGCGCGAGATCAATGCCCAGTACACCGCGCCACTCACGCCGATGCCCAGAATCGCCTGCTCCTCGGTGCTGCGGCTGGTGCTAGTCGCAGTCTGAGAGGTACACACAGCAACGTTGAAGACGCGGTCACGGGTAGAACGGAAGACCTGCTTGTCACTACCGTCGTCCTGACGGATGATACGCATGCCCCCATTCTTCGCCAACGCGTAGACGATGTAGTCGGAAGTGGCAGACGTCAACGAGCGGTCGAGCTGATCGAAGTCCTTCTTCAGACGAGCGATGTCCATGATACCATCATCCCGGAGAGTTGCAAGTTTGCCGGAGTGGGACTTGACCGAGATAGAGATGAACGGCTTCAGAGGGAAGTTGTACACCGAGACGACACGCTCTTCCTCCTTCTCAGCGCTGTCCTCGGCACTCTCCCAGCTGTCCGCCAGCGCGTCACCACTGCCACTGTTCGAAGTCTCCTTCGCAGCAGCGGAAGCAACGGCTTCAACGACTTCCTTCTCCAACTTGCTCTCTTCGGCTTCTTCCTGGGCCTCAGCGGCGGTCTCCCGTAGGTGGCTGGCAATAGACGAGAGCACAGCCTGGGTGTCCTCCTGAGCCGTCGCCACCTGCGACACCACATCCGCGGGCTTGGAGGCAGAGCTATCAATTTCGCGACCGATTTCTTCCACGAGTCTGTCGACCACCTGAGTGACAGCTTCTCTCTGTTCCTCGGCCAGGACGGGCGACGCGGCGCGCTCAGGCTCGGTCGGCTCCGCCGGGGCGGGAGCCTGCTCGACCTTGGTGGAAATGCTGACCTTCTTGTTCTTCACGATCTCCACAGCGGGACTCTCGCTCCGAGAATTGGGCTGTGGGGTCCTGCGAGGGGAGGCAGCGGCCAACTGCTCGAAAGGATTCACATAGGTGAACATGGACTCCTTTCCAGTAGGAGAGAGCTTGTCCAGTTTCCCAGATGCAATCTCCTCAGGATGAGCGATGTCGTCAAGACCCGGGACAGATGGCTGCACGGTGTCGCTCAGCTCTGCCTCAAGTCCTGGAGACTTGGCAGCAGAGAGAGAGGACGGAGACCTCGAAACAGGCTTCACCGGGCCTTCCGGCACCTCTTGGGCGGGCTTGGGGCGGTTGAGCAGACGCAGCAGCATCTCCTGGGTGTTCTCCGCGGTCGGGGCAGCCGAGGAAGAGCTATCTCCAACGCCAGCACCCGCAACGATCGGCCCAAGCTGACCTGGGTGACCACCGGCCGGTCGGACGGGCGGGGCGGCAGGCTGTCCCTGTCCACCGAGGAGGGAGGCGACCAGGTCCGACGCGGAGATGTTTCTCGCGTGGGCCTTGGAAGGGTCCTCCGGGGCAGCCGCACGAGCCTGCGGGTATCTGGGCTGATCAATGCCAGTCGTTGGCGCTTGCTGCGGGGCAGCAGCGGCGGGGGGCTGGGTGAACTTGAGCAGATTCAACAGGTTCACTGCACGGTCGGGGTTCTGAGGCAACGGCTGGTGATGTGGCATCGGCTGCGGTTGCTGGTGTTGCGGAGGCAGCTGGGAGTACATCTCAGCACGAGGCGTAGGAACATTAGGACTAAGAATATCCGAGCCATGGTGGGCCGGAGTATTAACGGGCGAGGGACTGTGAATATTCGAGGAGACCGAGGGGTGGCGGTAGCCGTGGTGGAGGTGCTGCAGCTGAGGGTGGTGAGGGTAGCTCTGGGCGTCATAGGGCGGCTGAGGGTGCTGCTGGTATTGCGGCTGGGGGTGCTGCTGGCGGTAACCCGGCTGGTACTGGCCAGGGTGCTGCTGCTGCTGCTGCTGCTGCTGATGCTGCGGCGGCATAGGAGCATCATGAGCAGGAGTGCCCGATGGAGAGGGGCGCGGCCTGATGCTCGCCAGGAGCGCCTGAAGATCAGTGGGGGTGGACATTTCTGTCACTCGCCGTGGGTGAAGGCGACCTCCAAAGAAATCTAAGCTCCAAGTGACGGGAGAAGCTCTCTTTCGAGAGTCAAAAAGTGAAGGAAGGAAGAGAGAGATAGCACAGAACAAGCAGGCTTAAAGCAGGAGCAAGTGTAAAAGGAATGCAGGCAGGAACGTGCAACAAGAAGGGGACCAAAAGAAGACGAAGGACGGACTATAGTACAGGAACGAAGGGGGGGGGAGGGGGAGGAAAGGGAAGAAAGGGAAAAGAAAGGGAAGCGAAGAAAGCTCGGCGAAGCGCGACTCGAAGCGAGAAGCGGAAGCGGAACAAACCTATGAAGAAGTCGTGGCGGTGAGGTTGTGGTTTATTGTGTGGTTGTGGCGGTGCGGCTGGCCGTACGTAAGATTACCATGTAACGTAACGTAGTATGGTAATCCCGAATCCGATGATGAAACCCCGACGATGAAGAGAGAGAGAGGATGCGAGCAGCTGCTGCAGAACATCCCATCCTCCAAGTCAACCATGGACGATCGGTCCTGACACCTTCACTGACACCCATCACCTCGATCGACATCGCGTCGTCACTTGTCCCTCTCTCCGACTTCACCGGAAGAATTGAACGAACCCATTAATTACCTCTCTCGCCACCGCATCGCCGCATCTTCTATCTCGAGTCGAGTCTCGACAGACAACCACCACCACCGCAACCACACCACCACACCACCACAATAACCATGTTCTGTCTCCGGAGGTAACCATCCCCCTCCCCCTGCTCACCCCCACAAGAACAATAAAACTAACAGAAACACCACCAGCTGGCTCCCCCTCCTCTTCATCCCCACCAACGCCTCCCCCCTCTTCATCATCTCCTTCGTCACCCTCACTTACATCCTCCACCGACCTTGCATCTACTGCTCCGCCCTGCTCCTCATCCTCTTCATCTCGTCCTGCCACTGGTCCGACAAATGCTTCTTCGACCTCCGCGGTGACTGGTTCTCGCCGCGCTACGGATCCCCCTCCGACTCCTCTTTCTCCGACCTCTCCGCCAACGACTCCTCCACCCTCGCCGGGTACGTCTTCGACACCGTCAACTCCACATCCAAGGCCCTCGCGGGCGCCTTTGTCGACGAGGCCCAGCGGAGGCTCGCGCTGAATGGATCCCTGCCGCACCAGGATGAGTGGACGGGGATTGGTCTTGAGTGGTTGCGCAGTTTGTTGGGGCGGAGGGAGTGGACGCTGCCTTGTGTGGATGTCAAGGTGAGGCTTTGAAATCGGATCGCATCGCATCGCATCGCATTGGATTGGATTGGATCGGATCAGGCTTGGTCGTGTGGGTTGGGCTGCCTAGGAGGCTATGTTTGCCTGCCTACTTACCTACCGACTTCAGTTGTCTTGTTACTACTACATACTCTTACCTACCTTACATATCTATACCCTACCCACCTACATACCGATATCATCGATTCGACACCGGTACACAGCACACTGCTCCAGGACACCGGGTTTCCTCCTTTCTTCTTTCTCCTTACTCCTTCCTCACCTCTCACTTTTATTCCTCCATCTCATCCCCTCTCTTACCCACACAGCCCGCCTTTCCATCTCATTCCACCCTCCAACCGATAAATATAGACTTGGCGAAGGCTGGCGGGGCTTTCATGCGGCGAGCTAGCTGCACACACACACATGCATATTGGAAACGAGGGGAATATCTCCGGTCGTGGCTTTTTGTGCGCGGAGTTGGTGTACATATCTTTCTTTCTTTCTTTCTTTCTTTCTTCCTTGCTTGTCGTCTTTATTCATTCGTCTGACGAGATTGTTCTTTCCCCATGTGGGTGGATCTTGTGCAAAACTCTATTTACCTGCATCCTTGACTCTGAGAGCAAGAGAGAATGGGGCTGGGGTTGGGGTTGGATTCCGGATGAGAGGAAGGGAGAATGGTATTGTTGGGTAGGTGAGCTGTAGGCAGGTATGTACTCTGCTTTCTCTGGAAATACGGTAAATGGATCAGGGATATGAGATGAGATGATATGATATATCGGATATACACAATGGTATGATATAGCATTAGTATCAGTTCTCTTCCTGTCTAGGATAGACATTACATATCTCGTAAGGGAAAATAAGTAAACACACTGCCACTCGCTATTTGCCACCAACAGTCAAGATCACCTCGTATCATTCAGAAGGCAAGAACATCAACGTACTAATTACAATGCAAATAGGTATCTAACAGGAGAATGAACAGGCCGGGCCAATTATACCAGCAGTGTGCACCCGTGCGCTAGGGCAGGGCACGGGGGATCCGCATAGCACATAGAACGTCATCGTCGAGCGTAAGCCACACCAAGGCGCGTCAGTAGAATATCGTAAAAACATAAGGTATCACAAAAGATGGCAAGAACATAAGCCCGTCGTAACTCCGTGGACGCGTCGAGCATGCGATGGCTAAGCACGGGAAATCGAGGTATCGAGCACCAATGTGCAAGGATCGTGGAGAAGAGATATAGACATGTCGGATCGAATGAGGGGGGAAAGGGATTGAGAACACAAGGAAAGGACGCTCCGGGGAGCTTGCGGGCCGATCATTGGTATGCGCCGCCCCCCATGGGCAAGGGCCAATCGTCCTCGGTGATGCTGCTCCAAAAGGCCCAAACCGTGCCGACCGCCAAAAGGGTGAAGAGCGTCTCGAACAGTGCGCCGTTGATCTTGCCGTGGGACGCTTCGCAGAGGTGCACGCTGATCACGTATTCGAAAATTTGTCCGATGGCAAACAAGAGAGCGGCGCAGGTCAAGTAGACTAGAGGCATGTTAGATGTTTTTCTTCTGACGCAGTCGCATAGAATGGGTCCGACGTACGCATGGGCCGCAGTTCGCCCAGAACCCGGATCACCAAGACGGCTTCCAACACGTAGAACGCGACGAGACAGACGAGCGGGAAGAGCTGATAGAGAACATAGAGGGCGATGTTGCGATAGTCGTGCGACGCCGTGGTCGCGAACTCCCCCGTCCAGTCGAAGGCCGTGTCCAGCGCGATATAACCCGTACCGATGAAGAGAATCAGCGAGGAGGCGACGATCAGACCGAGGGAGGCTGGGGTTCCGTCGTCGAGGATTTGGAAGCCCACCAGAGCGTTCAACAGCAGGATCCAGCATGTTGCGGTGATGGCAGCAACATGTACGGCGGAGAATCCCTAAAGGCGCGCATTAGACCCGGCCATCATTGTGATGAGTCGCACGACCTACCTTCCGGACTGCTGAATTCAGAGGAAACCCGCCCACGGAGAAGATCTCGCAGATTTCGATCACGATAAACCCAAGCAAGAATATTTGCATCTCCCTAGTACCCCAGTCAGCTGCCGTTCCTTCTGTTTTCGCGCCTTGGTGTGTACCTTCTCCCGACGGCGGCCCGCTTGCGATCCGTCCGCAACAACAGAATCAGCGACGTCAAGATAGCAATGAATGCCAGCAGAATCGAGCCTGGAAGAGGTTAGATCCGGAACAGTCCATCAATTGACGGACAGGCCATACCGAGATTGCTGAGATGGCGATCATTGCTGAGCCCGATCCCGACGAGCGCACACCCGCCATAAGCTTTATTCGGGGGCTGGTTGTCGGCGACGAAGAGCTATCAAAACACGAATGTCAGCGATACGGCATTCCTCCATTGAGCAATGACGACACAGGGCTGAAGGAATGGGGGGAGGGAGCGTGGGAATGCGAATCGGAGCACGTACATTGCAGACCGGGAGTGTGGAATCTCGACAAAAGTCCTACACATGCAGATCACCCACGTCAGTTCTATGTCAGACGCGGTCCTGGAGGCAGGTGAGTGGCCAACGCACGTTGAAATTCCCAAATTGCGTCGAACCCATGGCTAGTGAGGATGGAGGCTGAAGACCATGCACGAGAGGGCTTGGAGACTCGGCGCAGCGAGAGCGTGGAGGTGGTGAGGGCGACGGTGACGGTGAATAATTTGATCGAACTCGATGGACCCACGCCGGTCACGATGGCTCCGCCGGAGATCTGAGGGGTGGGCACGAAAGGGTAGCGATTGGGATTAGGGTGGTTAAAAAAGATCGATCTCCCACGAGAGTGTGCACTCAGGGCGGCAGCAGCAGCAGCAGCAGCAGGAGGGAGAGAATTGCAACGGGCAGAGAGACCAGAAGCGAGAGGGAACGAGCGAGGCGACACTGGGCTGACACGTTGGGTTGGCAATATTGATTAATGCGAGCAGGCGGTTGAAAGAAGGCGAGAGACGATGCAGCCGGTGGAGCAGGTGAGGCGGAGGAAGCACACTAAGGACGGGGAAAGAAGGGTAATTATCAGGGATTATTAGGGACGGGGGGGTGGTGAGGGATGATGACAGGAAGGGAGGGGAGGATTAGGAGGGGGTGGGATAGAAGGGAAGAGAAGGGAGAGAGAGAGAATCAGCCACGATGATGGGGATGTGAGACTGAGACTGTCAGACGGGGCAGGTTGTGAGTTGGACTGGGAACTGGGAATTGAGGACTCGCGCCAGACCAGGCAGACAAGACTGCAGACAGACAGACAGACAGACAGACAGACAGACAGTCAGTCAGTCGTTGTGAGTCTCGAAACTGGACTGGGATTTAGTTTGACGGCCGTGCTATTTAGTGTCGTCCTAGCGGGCGCAATGATAGGCCGGGCAGCACTTGGCTCCGGCCGACAGCAACCAACGGGATCCCCCCAATCCCTGCAGCTGCACCGCGGCCGATCCAGGAACGGGAATTACTTCATGCGCTTCCATCCGACTACTGGTGATTCTTGGAATGATCTGTGACTCTTCCTGTTCTCTCTCTAAATCATCATCTCCCTGTTCCTGAGCATCCCCTCAGGGGGAAGGAAAAACCCAAAAACTGTCAGCCACGAATCCGGTTCCCGAGGATCCAAGAACCATGGATGACCCTCCCAAGGACCGACCCCACCGGACGAAGACGAATACTACTTTTTACTATTTTACTACCGAATACTAATGGCTCGTTTCTATTCTGGTTCGGCCCTGTACCGCCAGCATACCTAAGGTACTTGCCTGCCTACAGTCGCAATGCGCCTAAGAATAGCCACTTATGACAGGCAGCATCCTGAAGATTGGATAGATCTTGCATGAGATTCCGGGTGAGAAGTCACGTCACGTTCGCCATGCCTTCCTTGCCTTTGCGGGCGGGATTCCTGGACTATCAATTCCAATCAATAATACTGCGGAGGATTACCGTGCCACACCGCCGGCTAACATGTCAATGTTAGCCAACATTCTTCCTTCCGTCCTTTCCAACCCACCCCAGCCACACTTGTCTTGTCCGTGGAGGTGGACCCTTTGCCACCCACGGCAAATCCTGGTCTATCTACTACTACTACTACTTACGGACGGACACTGTGCTCGGAGTACTCCGGGGCATGATGATTATTATCTTTCTTTTGACACTCCATCTGCTCGGTATCCTGCATCGTCCCCTTCGGGACGTCCCTTCCCATCGATTCCGCGTCACAGCCACGGCTGATCCGCTTTCCCATCGCCCTTGCGTCGGACTCCGCGCACACTACGAAGGCCGACCTGCACCTTACCTCATTGATCGAGGGCGCGCAAAGGGGCCAGAGGGGAGAACAGTTGACCATGTCAGCCATCAGTCGGCAGTCGATGCAATGTCCCATTCCGCTATGCCAGCATGGTTGACAGTGACAGTTGGAGTCGTCACACCGGTATCTAGGTAGCTGCCTATACATACTTTACAGAAAGATCGAACCGCCTCTCAATCAACACACATCCTCAATTTCCAGCTCCTTCCCGTCGTGCTCGCCCAGATCCAGCTTCAGCGTCCGGCCGAACAGCTCCAGCAACATCTCGAAGCACACCTTGCTAATCGCAGGGTCATACCGTCCCTTGCTGAGCTCATCGCGGATGAACGCATCTGCGTCATCACCATTAGCATTGAAGTCCCCAACAAGGGCAAACCATCCAGCCTGAAGACCACTTACGCTGCGCCCAAGCCACCTCATAAAACCCAAACAGAACGCCCTTCTCATGAAGGGTCTTGCGAATCAAATCCCTTCCCTCGGGCGGAACATGATTGTCGTTTTTCCCGAAAATCTACGCATCACATCGCATCAGCCACCCATCACTCAGTCACTCGCTCACTCGCTCACTCCTCAACACAAACGATGAAATCAAATCGGATGGGGATAATCTCAATCTCACCATAAGCATCTCCCCCTTGATGTCGCCCGCCCGCGCCAAACTATCATCATTCTTGCCCTTGCCCAGCGTCCGGCTGTGGATGTCGGTGGCGAAGTAGCACACCGCCGCTTTTACGCGGCTGTCCAGCGCGCACCGATACGCCAGATGTCCACCCAGGCACATACCCGTCGCGCCCACTCGGCCGTTGCACGTGGGCAGCGACAGCAGATAGTCGACGCTCAGCGAGGCGTCTTCGTCGTAGGCGGCGATTTTCTATTTTCGGCATCAGCATCATGTCCATTCTACGGGCAACCATAGCCCCATTGCCAATTTGCATAATGCCCATCCACATTACGTAACTCACGACAAAGATAACGAAACAGAGAGATATGACACATCACATCACATACCTTGCTAATCTTCCACTCATTCCCCCGATCCGTATCCTCAGCATCATACTTCAGGGCCTCCGGCCCCGTGAATTCGTGATAGCTGGACGGCGCCGCGCAGATGTATCCCTGTCCGGCGATTTGGCGAGCGAACCGCGCCACGGGGCCGGTTACTGGGGGATTGATTAGCTGGACTTGACCTTGGCTTTCTGTCGCGTGGAATCTCCCTCCCCCATGGTAATATCGAGAAAGGGACGGGCACAGGTACGAAGACGGATATGCAATGGAAACGGACGTGGACATGGACATGAATATGGATTACATACCCTGGTAAATCTCACTGAACACCACAACACCGGGGAACCGCGCCTTGGGGTATCCCGGGATGGTGGGGTGGAAGACATAGATCCCTAGAGCAGAAGTTAGCGATATTCATTCATGTATTCATTCATGCCTTCGGTCATTTATTCAAGCTTGTATGTCGATTAAACATGTCCCCGAGCTATGGGTAACGTATCGTAGCGTAGCCAGATATCTCGATGCTGTAAAGCTATGCGAGGTAGGTACGTAGGTAGGTAGGGCAGGGCAAAAGGGACCTCTACTAGTAGTAGTAGTAGTAGTAGTATTTAAGGTGTATACATACGCATGGATCCGCTGCCGTCGGCCTTGGTCGGCACATCGTGGAAGGATTCTTGGATGAGCATAGCGAAAACTGTATAGAGCTGGAGCAGGAGTGCGAGGTTTGAATTGGGGCGTTGATTTAGGTAGTGGGGTGTAGACCCTCGTTAATTGAATCCTCGAGGGGGTGGTGGTGGTGGTGGTGGGGGCGGGGTTGGATTGTGCTGCGATAAAGCTTCCCTTCTCGGACCAGATATGGAGGGGCGGTCATGTGATTTGTGTGGTGGTGGTGGTGGTGGTGGGATTCATGCGGTGTGGTCATGTAGGTGGGGTAGTAGTACATTTTACAGAATAAATTACGGAGATGGGCGCAGGATAACCTGCCGACTGAAGTCTCTGGGTCACCATGTCTGTTCAACATGGTGGGTGTGATTAGGTATCATTGAGTCAGAAACAGAGGCCCGTGACGGAATCTATCTTCGGGAATACATGAAAATGAAAAACCCAAGAATCAAAATGCCAGTCTAATAATGTACATAGAATCTTATCATCGTAGAAAGGAACATGAAGAATACAATGCAGGAAGTAGACCCCAGGTATGGGTTCGTACAACAGAAACAGATGGTAAATGTGGCTGGCAGACCCAGAAAGATTGCGGGGTGCTCTGGCCAGAAGATGCAAGATTACAACAGATTATGATGGGCCAGGTAGAAGCGAAGATCTCCGAGGAAAAGTTCTACCGGTAGCCCGCGTGGGCTCATCAGAGCCCGAGAGAATGCGCGCGAAAGGATGCGGTACATGAAGCCGTTTAAAACACGTACTGGAATGCACGTTAGCCGCTGTCTAGACAGGATGTCTAGTCGATACTTACCGGAATGAACAGGTAAGGCACCTGTCTCTCGTACTCCCTCCATGCCTCGCCGTACTTGTTACGGCAGCGCTCGATATCGCGCATCGCACGGTGGGTGATCATGCAGGCAAAGAAGAGGGGGTAGAACCAAGGGAAGGGGCTGTTGAACCCGGTGATCAAGCCCCAGTTCAGCGCAAAGTATAGGTCGCAGGTGTAGTGGATCTTGCGGGCCTTGCCGTCTGTGGTGCAAGTTAGTTATCTATAGATCGCCAGGGTTCACATTGACCGGCACTTACACCAACCGTCGACCAGGATCTTCGAGCCATCCTCAGCCGTGATGGTCTTGGGGTTCTTCACCGTCTGCCAGGGAAGCTGGGGGAACGTTTTGCGGAACACCATGGTGCCGCGCTCCTGCTGGCGGTACCGGTTCTTCTGGCTGTTGGTCGTGTCCCACACCCAGTACACGAAGAGGTACGCGACGTAGAGGAACGTGAGGAAGTACCGGTTCCAGTGATACGTTGCCGGGTCGTGGTTGGCCAGGTAGATAGTGCAGTGGCAGTAGCTCAAGGGAACACCCGCCAGGTTCCAGAAGATCAGCATGAAGCCCCATTTTTCGTAGTACATGTCCCTATTCCTCAATCAGCGGCGAGCTTGTCATGATCCACGCATACACTTACCATGTAGACACGATGCACTCTTCGCCCTTGGAGCAGGCGTTGGCGTACAGGAAGTGCGCCAGGAGCAGGAACCCGACCTCACCGGAGACATAGCCGTAAACCTCGTACTGCCGGGCTGCGGCGCCCAGGGTAACGAAGAGAAGGATGTACCAAGGGAGGCGGACTTCGAAGAACATCTTGAAGTCCAAGACTCCAAACATTCTCGGGTTGAGCTCAGCACCCATGAAGAAATCATAGATGTGATGGCCGGTCATGCGGTGCTCGGCCCCACGGGCCAACGTGGAGAAATAGGCCACGAACGAAACAATGAATCCAGAGAGGATGGCAACGCTCATCAGAGGGCCGAACTCGTCGATGATAGTGTACAGCTTGAAGACACCGGTAAAATGGAGCAACGATGCCAGCGCAATGGTGGTGTAGAAGGACCACACAGCCGAACAGTAGTAGGGCAACTGTTTCCCTCCCAGGTGCGGCAGAGGGCGACCCATGACCGTGATTCCCGGAAGGCACAGGTAGCAGATTCCCTCAAAGACGAAGAACACCCAATAAATTGTCCAGGCCTTGAGGGACGGAAACGCGCCCTCGTATACCAAGTGTCCCAGATGAGCAAAGAAGTCCGACATGCTTTGGCCCTCGGCGGGACGAGGGAACTTGCCATCATAGTAGGTGGCCCCAATCCACATGTAGTACATCAGCAGCGGGAATCCAATCATCATGGACAACACGCCCCAGGAGCCTCCGAATTCGAAGTGGCCGCTGTAGTCGACCCGGGGGTCCTTGCCCTCTTCCCAGCCGTCCACAATCCGTGTCTTCTTGCCCGTGGGAGCATCGGCACGTCCGTTGGTCGCCAGCTTGGTGTTCTCCTCAATTTCTTCGGTCTTGACCCTGGGCGAGGCGCGTCTTCGGGGGGCGGACTTGGATCGGTCCTGGACTTCAGCGGCGGAGTCGAAGGCATCCTCGGGGGCCACGCTGCTGCGCGTTACCCGGCGACCGGGGGTCTCGATGAAGCCGGGGCGGTCCACTTTCCTAGCCATTGATTGAGGTGTGAGCTGACGGTGGCCACGAAAATGATCAGAGTGGAGAGGCAGAGCAGGCGCAATTGCTGGGTGAAATCTGAAGGCCGATCGGGGGTTTGGGGGGAAGCTCATGGGGGGGGGGGGCCTCGTGGCCGGAGAAGGGAGTCCCTCTTCGCCACTCCCGTGGATTTTGACACCCTTGCGCAAACAAACAAACAACCGACTGGCTGACTTACTTGGGGGTTTTCCCCGTTTGGGAACGAGTGACGGTCATGGCGGGCAGACCATAAAAGGGCCCAGGCGGAGGAAATTAATTGAAGGAGGAGGAATGGGGAGGAGAGGGGGGGAGGGGGGGGAGCTCGAAAGCAGAAGGGCAATTGACGCGAGGAGCAAGTGAGGGAGAGAAGGGGAGGGAGAGGGAGGGAACATCAATGTGTAGGGCTTAGGCGGGCGGTCGCCGGCGCAGGAGAACAACAACAAGGCACAAATAAGCAGCAGCAGTTGGGGAAGCACTAGCAGCATGAACTACTCTGGACTACTTACTACTACCCGGTGGGTTCACTACTTACTATTACTAGTACCCGGTGCAGGATCATCGCATGATGCAGCCACTCGGTCCTTGCAATATTTTCAGAGAGATCTAGGGAATGTTTAGAAACTGGAACCTGTAAACTGCCAACTGGATATTTCCAGACTAGCTAACACTACTTTCTAGTACTAAGTACTCTGGTTCTTGGCTGCAGGTGCTGCATCGGCCAGTGAGCCCCATCTTTACCCTTTCCGTGGATCCGGCACGACTCCGTGGTTCGTGCGCGGTGGCTGTTGACCTGGTCCCTGCCCAGGGTCCGACGCTCCTTCCCACAACCACAGATTAAAATCAACACTTTCGGAAATTGGTAACAAAGGGAATGACAGGGGCCACTCTTATTAGGTAGGGTATTGGCGCAAAAGTGGCGCAAACCGAGAGATCGCATCATTTGCCGACGTTTCGGGTCCTAAGGACCAATGAGCGTGGACGACTGCATTCACGTATGGACAGTAAGTCATCGCCTGTGAATCTTGTGTATGCCCATCGCTATCTTGGAGATCTCGCCGCCTTTTGGGGGACGGGGGTTGGGTGTCTGTATGAGACTGGTCCACTGAACGCTTCTTCGGGATAAGCATGTTGTTTTTTTTCGGGGGCTGCTCAAGCCTGTCCTGGGGCGGATTTTCTTCCTCTTCGAGGAAGTATAATTTTCTTAAACGATCTAAGATATCAAGAGTTTCCCGTGACAGTACGTTCTGCCGAGGGCTCCCAAGAACAAGCAGGGCTCTTCGTAGCATTGCGACTGGGGGCCCGTGCCAAGATTTGGGTACTGTAAATGTATGCAGCATAGTCCGAGCTAAACTTGGATCCACACCGACAAACATATACTGTTTCAGAAAAACCGGGATATACAAACCTCCTATAGAATCTGCTCCGATATCACCTTTATTGATGAGGTGTTGGCGATACATCTCGGCTGATGGTACTCGACGTTTCGTATCTCCTGTCCCCGCGGCAACTCGTCTCCTTTCTGAATCCTCTAATTCGTATTCCACAAAGAAGTTCAAATCAGTGGGCATAATGAGAAGGTGCGGATCTAAGGCATTGTCGTAATGACCATGACATTGGGCACACAGCGGGATAGCATTAGCCTCCGAACCAAGTGCAAAATTCATTAATCCCAAGTCCTGCCACAATGAAGCCTATATTAAGTGATAAACTGTTAATCATATTCTTAACACGGGGAGGTTCTGTGTTAGAATCGTACCTGACGATCCTCTTGTCCGATGACATGACAGGCGTGTGGAAAAGCACTGCTACATACCCAGCACCGATCTGCGTATAGTTCTGTGAGCTTCATCATCACACCTCGGGAGAAGGCGCTAGATGATGCTTGGGATGAACCGGTATCGCTCCCACGGGAAGGATTTCTCGGCCCAGATGGAGGCCTAGGTGGAGAGGGCATCGCTCTGGTGTCCTCACTTGTGTCAGCCATTTTCGTGGACTTTGTCTGAGCAGGTGTTTACATACAGTCAAATGGTTTAGTGCTGATCTATTCTGGTCAGCTTCGATGTTTCGAGGAAGCTCCTTCCTCTCTAGCTGGTTGATGCATTTGGGAATATCACACTGGTCAGGGAAGGTACTAGTACTGCAGCTGCTGCGTCCCTTCCGTTATTCAGTTATTATGACGTGACTTCGGGGTCGTGGATCTAGCCAGGTTAGGTATAGCTCTATTCGATGCGGGGTACTGGGATCTACTGGCAGCACCCAAAATCTTGTAAACAGTAAACAGGTGTGTGCAGAAAAAAGTGAACCAAAGGAATTGACGGGAGATGTTTAAAAACGGAGAAAGATTCGAAGCATTGCATGCGTACACCTCAAGCCCCTCTCTGGCTGTTGGTGGCCATGAGCGTGATTTTTTTGTTCTTATTCTTTTTCTTTTTGCCGCCGGACGAAGGCAGAGGGTTATCCGCCTCGGGGGCAGTTTGAGCCATCAGCTCCCTCTCCTGCTGATCCCATAGCTCCTCTTCCCATCCCTGAAGCCATCCGTCCGGGGGTCCAGCTCCTGGCTGCGGGCCGGACCCCGGCGACAGCGGTGCTACGGCGGTGGTTCCCCACACGGTGCGGGACCCGGGAGGACTCGTGGAAGGGGACGCCAGAGCACCGAAATGGGACGAGGGCTGGGGGGGAAATGCGGAGGAAGGCCCCATGTCAAAGTCGGACGGCCCGGACGCCGAAAGGGCAGCCAGCGGCTGGAAATCCTGGACGGAGAACGGGGCATCCTCCGTCCCGATACTAGATCTCTTCCGGCGGGCTGCGGCCCAGCGCTTTTCGTCTTCCTCTTTCTCGGCCCGGACACGATCCTTTTCCTCGCGCACCTCTTTCTCTCGGTTGCGCTTCCTTCTCCGGTCAGTTTCGGACTTGAAAGTATGGAGAATATCCGGCACAACTACCTCCCTCCAGTCGCATTCCAGGAAGTTCACCTCGCAGCCCTGGGGGAGATGCCCGAGATATTTCACTCGTTTGCGCAGCTCGTCGTCAACAATGTGGCCGGTGGAGATCCGCTCCACCCGAGGAAGGATGGTGGCAGGGAACGAGGAATAGTCGCCGAATGCAGCCTTTAGGATGCGGATGTCTAAGGGCGAAAGATAGAATTGCGGTAGAGCTTGGTAGAAGTAGTATGGATAGTCTGGCGGGTGGGGCCCTGTTGCTTCCTTGGTCCGATTCGAGGACAAATTGCTTCGACTGCTCCCAGGGTCTCTCTGTTTGTCCTTCAAACCGGAGGATGGACCCAGGTCAAGATGCCCCAAGGCATCGACGGCATGATCTAGGTCATTGGATTTGATAGTTGGGCCAGCGCTGTGGCCTGAATTGCTTGCGTGCTGCGATTCATACATCACAGCCACTTCATCTGGTGGTGACTGTAGTGCGATAGGCTCCTTTGGTGACCTGGGCGCCACAGGGTGTCGAACAATATCTGGCGGGTTACCAATTCCCTCCAGCTTGGACTTGGCGTCGTTGATGGCACCAATCGCCTTCCGAGTCCAAGTAGTATCATCCCCGAACAACAACTCATCTTCTACCTGCTGCCGGCGGAGCTCGTCAATCTCTTTGTCATACTGATCTTTCATGTAATCTTCGCCTCCTTTCATTATGCGCGCATAGTCTGCTACCTCCGCAGCATGGTACCAGGGAACATCCTGCTCTAGCGCAATGCCCCCGGCCCCATCCCGCGGCAGCGCTAGAGTGCTTCCCGGTTCTCTTTTCACTAGCCTCAGGACTACATCACCCCCTTCAAAGGGGAGATCACCCTCTTGGCCACGAAACCATCGCACCGGCCGCGTCTCCGAGATGTAGATGGAGTCCCAACAGATGGGGCACTTCTTCCATCGCGCCTTTTTCTCCGGGAGTGGGGCCTCGTCATCGGTCGAATGCATGTAGCGGATCAGACACGGAAGGCAGAAGATATGACCACACCGAGCCATCCGAGGCGCCACCGGAGTGGACAAACAGATGGGGCAACTGGCCGATTGGGTTTGAGCCGATACGAGGACTTGAAGAACCGAATCCCAATCCAGGTGAACATCGGCATTCGCCGCTTGCGCATAATAGTTGCGGTCTGGTGTGACGATAAATCGATAGTTGGCATGCACATAACGGGATTTGTCCACGGCATGGTAGCCAGAACCCGGTCCCCAGGACGTATAGCGGCGGGCATTGCGGGGTGGGGGGCGATACTGCGGGCGAGGGGGGAGAGAGAAGTTCATCAAATGCGTGATGGACGTCTGGCCCTTGCGACTATTCGTGGATCTCATGATGGCCTGCGCATATCGAGACGGTTAGTCGATATCGAGACGGTTAGCCGATTCCGCCCTACATTTCCTCCCATCTTCCTATGCCGATAGTCGCAGATAGTCGCAGATACGTACCGATTCACTATACTCCTCATCATCCAGCAATCGGGGGGGCTTCTGTCGCTTATGTTGGCTCTTTCGAGTCTGGTTGTTCCTTGGTGCGCCGGTATTCCTCGACGTTGACCCAGCCCCAAAACTGCCCGAGCCTCCGGGGCGTCGTTGATAGTTGCTTTCGAAGGAAGGCGAGTGGAATGCCGCAGAGACTGGCTGGCTCGGGATATTGACCGCTTTGGAAGAGGTGGGGATCTGGCTAAGATTGGACGACATTATTCAGTCTGCTAAGTCGGGTGAAGGCGTGAGACTACCTTCCTATGGCGGGGACAGAGCAGCAGTGATTGGAAGGATAACGCGAGGAGATGCAGGTCATACAGCCTCGAACGGAGAAGGCTGATTGGGATTGGAGGGATTGGGTGGATGCAACAACGCTAGTTCATATACAACGAAGGCCATGAAGACCCCGAAGGGCAGCAACAAGATGGGAAAAGCCGCAGAAGCCGGAAGCTTCCCCTGACGGAGAACAGAAAAGAGGAAGCCCGGG